TGAGAGCATAGCTTGGCCCAAGGTTTTTGGAGCTAAGATCGACATTGCCAAATGCTTCGACCATGTCGATGTTAAGCAAGCTCTTCGTGTCTGGTCCAAGTTGGGGGCACCTCACACTGTGGTGGCTGTCCTCCAATCCTTTTATGACAAACAGACGAAAACCATGGAATGGTTAGGTTCTTCCACTAAACCTTTTGGTTGTTCTCGAGGCCTTTTGCAGGGTTGTCCCTTGAGTTGCGGTCTGCTAGCCGGCCTGATGACGGTGTGGTATTGGCACATTAAAGCCAGTGCACCCCAAGTCTGTGTCTCTGTTTTTATTGATGACAGAACCCTGTGGAGCTCCGATTGGCGTCAGCTTTGTCTGTCACTCGAAGCGTCCAGTAGGATTGAAGAGGCTTTGGGCTTGAGTCTGAATCACTCCAAATGCGAGCTTTTTTGTAAGTGTTCTTCATTTCAGCTCGTTTCAGTGAAACGGTGGAATCATGAGTCCCACCGGAACTGGAAAGTTTGCAGACAATTTAAGCTCCTTGGTGTCCACTACTCTCTCTCCAAGCGTCGGCGCACACCTGTAGAGGACACTGTGACTCGCAAGGTTTCTGCGCGACTGCGCAGACTTCGGACCGCAACCAGCAACCAGAGAAACAAACGCAAGCTCACGCGCAGTTTGGTGTTGTCTTTGTTTGCTCATTCGGGGCCGTGGACAACTGTGTCCAAAAAGCTCTTGAATCAGTGGCGTAACACCATTGAGCAAACCATCATCGGCCGTGCCGTGCCGGGCAGGTCTCGTTTTCTGCTTTGGCAGTATTTAGGTCCGGATCTTTGTCCTGAATTCGCGTTGGACAGGCGGGTAGTCTTTCATGAGCTTTGGAAAGTCAGACGTGCTGTCTCAAGTTGCTGTTCCCTGCTCGACATCGAGCAGGTGTGTGCCGCTATGCCCCAACCTTCGACCTCTTACCGATTGGCAGAAGTTTTGAACAAGTGGCAGTGGCAGCACATCTCGCAGAGTCGTTTCCGCACCCCGCAGGGGGACCTTGATTTGGCATTTGACGGGTTGCCGGCAATCAAAGAGGCCATGAGACACGCATGGCTGGCGTACCTTTGGAGAAACGAGCCCCGCGCGCAAGATGACGCGGAGGTTTGTCAACGTGTTTTGCCAGTCTACCAGGCGCATTCAGCTTGGATGCGTCAGGGCGTCTCTGATTGGGAGTCCTTCTGCATTGCGGTCGGCGCTGGCAAAGATAGTCGTAAACTCGCCAAGCAGCATGAGCTTGAGTCCTTCAATTGTGCATGCGGGAGGGAATGGCCTTCACGCACACATGTCACGTGGCATTGTCCTTCTTGCCCAGGGTTGCCTGAGGCTTCTCGGCCTACACGCAAAGCTGAGGAACGTTTGCTCGTTCCTAGCATCCAACTTCCTCCCATACCTGATGAAAGGTGTAGCCAGTTTTTGCGACCGGATCCGAATTTGTGTGATCTTTTTCGTAGGACTGCCACGGCCGACCAGGTACTTTTGGTAGCTTCCGATGGTAGTTCTCAAAAGGTCCAGAATCTGCGCAGGGCTGCTTGGAGTGTCGCAACAACCGACCGGGTTTTTGCTGCCCGTCTCCAGGGACTGGATCAAAACATTTTTGGCGCTGAATCGGTTGCTGTTTTGAAAGCTTTCATTGCTGCGACTCATTTGCGCGTAGATCTTCTGTTGGTTTGCGATAACCTTGCAGTCGTCAGACGTGTGAAGCAAATCCAAACGACGGGATATTTGCCTCAGTGGGCGCCGGGCCTGTGGAAGGCCTTAAGCTTAGTTTGCTCCACCCACGAAATTGCGTGGGTGCCTTCGCACGATAAGCTTCTTGATTGGACCCCGTCCCTTGCTGGCCACATGGCTGAGACTTGGAGACTCCTCAACAAGCGAGCCGACGCCAAAGCTCAGGAACAGGCCGCTCGGTCTGTGCACGAGCTTCTTGATTGGAAATTTACCTTTGATGCTGCAGTGGCCTGGTCTGCTTCAGCGCTTGATAGGCAGCGGAGTGCTTTGCGGTTCCTGAGGCGCCTCATCGCTCCTTCCGCACCCAGCTGTGATGTTCCTTCTGTTGGCTTGTCAGCTTGACGGAAGCATGAGTTGACATGGTTTTGCTGTCTTCGCTGCAGCAGTCACTTTGCCTTCGCAGGATTTTTGCTGGACATTGAAATCTACGGATAGACCACTATCTGCCTTTGGCGATTTCTTTTTTCGTTGGGCGCTTTGCGCCTGGAACACTGCCTCCAGCCATTCATTGCTATGAACCCAGGCTGTGGCAGAGCAAGACTACACACACACACACACGCATTTGTTCATTTGCCAGACTTTGGTGTTTTTCCCGAATGCGTAGCGAAGGGTTCTCGTTTAACTCTTGGGGGTCTGGGGGTAGAGCCTTGTTCGCGATCCGTTGTTTCTACGTCCGCAACCGTCCGCAACCGTTCGCGGTGGAGCGCTAAGGCGCTGCCATTGGGGGAAGCTTTTGCAAGTGACTTTTCATGGATGTGTCACGTGTCAGTTTGCGCCGCTGTTCCATTGTGATTTGCGTGAAAATGACATGTCGCGCAAGAAACGTGATGCGTTTCGCTGCACAGGCGCAGCGTTTTGTGAGATCTGCAGATTGCTGCGCAGTTCCATTGGGATTAGCGTTTGGAGAGTCATGTTTTTGGGGTGTTGGATGTGGCCGTGCCATTGGGATTTGCGTTTCAGGGTGTGGCATCGAAGCTCTGTTTTCGTGACAAGTCTCAGCTGAAATGCCGATTTTGGTGGATGGGAGTGCTCAGAACGGGTCGAAATCATTCCAAACGTGTGGTGTGGTGCAAATTTGGTGGAAGCTCACATGAGATGATATTGGCACTTTTCGTGGCAGGCGCAGGACTTTGTGCGGCTTTTGAGGTGTGGAAGTGCGATTCTCGTGGCAGGCGCAGGGAATCGTGAGGGTGCGAGGTGTGACGGAGGTGACATTTCGTGGCAGGCGCAGTACTTTGTGCGCGTTAGACGTGTGGACGCGGAAAGATTCGTGGCAGGCGCAGGGAATCGGGAGGTTGTGAGTTGTGGTAGAGGTGAATGTCGCTGTCACATTGGGATTGGCGTGTGAGCGGGTGTCGTTTGGTGGGGTGGAATCGCGAAACTGCTTGGCAGGGCTGCGTGATGTGTGTGCTCCGATGGGTGTTTCCGCTGGACTTTTGGAGGAAGTCTCGTGCGAAACGTTCGTTTTGCGGACTTTGACATGTGAGTTTTTGAGGAAGTCTCGTGCGAAACGCTCGTTTTGGGGACTTGACATGTGACTTTTGGAGGAAGTCTCGTACGAAACGGTCCCGCAACAGTGTCCCACAAGAGTGTCCTGCAAGAGTGTCCCACAAGAGTTTCCTACAAGAGTGTCCCACAAGAGTGTCCCACAAGAGTATCCCACAAGAGTGTCCTACAGGAGTGTCCCACAAGAGTGTCCCACAAGAGTTTCCTACAAGAGTGTCCCACAAGAGTGTCCCACAACAAGAGTGTCCCATAAGAGTGACCCACAAGAGTGTCCTACAAGACTGTGCAACAAGAGTGTCCCACAAGAGTGTCCCACAAGAGTGTCCTACAAGAGTGTCCCACAAGAGTGTCCTACCAGAGTGTCCCACAAGAGTGCCCCAAATGAGTGTCCCACAGGAGTGTCCCACAACCGTGTCCCACAAGAGTGTCCCACAAGAGTGTTCTACAAGAGTATCCCACAAGAGTTTCCTACAAGAGTGTCCTATAAGAGTGTCCCACAAGAGTGTCCTAGAAGAGTGTCCCACAAGAGTGTCCCACAAGAGTGTCCTACGAGAGTGTCCCACAAGAGTGTCCTACGAGAGTATCCCACAAGAGTTTCCTACAAGAGTGTCCTATAAGAGTGTCCCACAAGAGTGTCCCACAAGAGTGTCCTACAAGAGTGTCCCACAAGAGTGTCCCGCAAGAGTGTCCCAAATGTGTGCCTTACAGGAGTGTCCCGCAAGAGTGTCCCGCAACAGTGTCCCGCAAGAGTGTCTCACAAGAGTGTCCCTTAAGAGTGTCCCACAAGAGTGTCCCGCAACAGTGTCCCACAAGAGTGTCCTACAAGAGTGTCCCACAAGAGTTTCCTACAAGAGTGTCCCACAAGAGTGTCCCACAAGAGTATCCCAAAAGAGTGTCCTACAGGAGTGTCCCACAAGAGTGTCCCACAAGAGTTTCCTACAAGAGTGTCCCACAAGAGTGTCCCACAAGAGTGCCCTACAAGAGTGTCCCACAAGGGTGTCCTACAAGAGTGTCCCACAAGAGTTTCCTACAAGAGTGTCCCACAAGAGTGTCCCACAAGAGTGTCCAACAAGAGTGTCCCACAAGAGTGTCCCACAAGAGTGTCCCACAAGAGTGTCCCACAAGAGTGTCCCAAATGAGTGTCCCACAGGAGTGTCCCACAAGAGTGTCCCACAAGAGTGTCCCACAAGAGTTTCCTAGTAGAGTGTCCCACAAGAGTGTCCTACAAGAGTGTCCCACAAGAGTGTCCCACAAGAGTGTTCTACAAGAGTTTCCTACTAGAGTGTCCCACAAGAGTGTCCCGCAAGAGTGTCCCCCAAGAGTGTCCCGTAAGAGTGTCCCACAAGAGTTTCCTACAAGAGTGACCCACAAGAGTGTCCCACAAGAGTGTCCTACAAGAGTGTCATTTGGACATATGTAGCTTTTCGAACGTGTTTGCATTCGGGTTCGTGGGCTCCATCTTTTTTTCCAGGCCCAGCGAGGAGACAGTGTTGCTTTGTGTGTAAGGGCCTTAGGGTTTCAACAGTACCGGAACATGTGAAAAGGATTGAACAGGTGTTTCATCACAGACCTCCCACTGTGAGAGCATTGGACCTTCGCTGAATCACCTAAATCACCGTTCAGAATCACCTCAGACTGCTCCCACCACTTCCCTGCTCCTCAGACTGCCACTCCCACCACCTATCCGCTTGCTCCGCCAAGCATGCACGGTGGTTGAACACCGAAGCGCCAGACATGATGATGTGGTCTTCTTGCGCTGCAACGATGTGAACCTCGAGGCGGCCCTGGCCGGCTCACCTGTAGCTCGTCTCGGGGCCGTCTCATGTCGAAAATCCGGCCATCGGAAGGTTACGGGAGACCGGGAACCCAGGCGTCTCGATTTCCTGGGTTCGGTGGGGAAAATAGACCAATGCCATCCAAAACCCATTGGTTGGGGATCTCCCTTTCAAGAAACACATGCATTTTAAACCAGAACATGCTGGCCACACCTAGAAGCTGACCTCTCCATCCATCTCGGCACGCTGACTTCAAAGACGACCCTAAATTAATTGAGTTTGTCGCTTGTTGGCGGACAACTGGTACTCGCAGGTGGATGGTGAAGACGTTTTCGCCCAGAGTGCTGAACTCACCAGCTGCCAACTCTTCATGGTGGAGCGCGAGGCACGAAAAAAAGCATGCGCGCACGAATGCGCACGACGCATTGGGATCATCTACCCACGGAAAGAGGGAAAGAGGCAACAACCACCCCAGTGTGGAGAAATATGGCAAACGCAGGTAGGTCGCGGGTCAGTATGTGGGCGTCCAAAACACCTAAGAGGCTTTGAGATGCGGACCGAGGGCCGGTTCTTCCAAACCCAACAAGCAAGCGGACCGTTGGGATGGAAGATGCTCCCCGGTCAACCATTTTTTTTTTCATATTTTCCAGCTCTCCATAGCTCGCCGAAACATATTGGGCCATGCGCATTTACTTGCTGTTTTGAATGTTGTCAAAGTATGTTCATAATCTGTCAAATGAATTCACATGATATTATCAGGTTCATGCGTGTTTCATCATCCACTTGTTTGTCCTGTGCGCTAACTGATGGCTTGGGTGAAGAATTGACCCAGGGCCAGGGCGAGCTGGCAAAGTTGACAGTGGACAGCAGAAGTTTTATGTGAGACTGTCGAAGGCGCTGCTCAGGTATAAACTTGGGTTATCTATGACAGTACGTGTTACATGATTAATAGAGTACAGGAAGTAGGCTTTGAGATGGGCAGTGGTTCTTATCGTTTTGCTGATTCAACGATGAACATCACCGTTGGCCTTGTCATTCCATTTTGTTCTGGCCTTTTTGCATCCTCCTCTGGATAAAACTTGACCTTTGGATGTTCTGTCGATGTTTCTTCTCTTCGCGCCATACCTTTTTGCGTTCTCTTTGCGGTATACCTTAGGCCGTCGAACTTTGCATTCATATTCATGTCCCAAGTCGGTAAGGGCTCATTCAGCCTGTTCGTTTGGTCTTGCCTGGGTGATGGTTCTTTCATTTGGCCATGGGTTTTGAACAAACATCGTTTGGGTCGTCCTGAAGTCTTTTGGTGAAACATGGAGTTGATCCGAGAAGAGTTCAGGAGTTGATCCGAAGGTCAACTTCCTGCGGGATCGCGCCAGTTGTTTTCGCAAAGGCAGCAAGTGGTTGATTCGTGAAGAATCAGACCGGTTCCATCAACCGGAATATGAAACCACAGGATCACAGACTATATATGAATATATATGACTGTCTGCTAACTAACTATATTAGTTAAACATGGTTAAACCACTATGTTAATATAATCTCATTGAATCTCATCGAAATTGAAACCATTGTTCTTTTCTTGTAAGCGAAAGTGCAATGTAACCTCACTTCCTCAGCTTCCCCGTCCTCAATATACCACCCCACACCCTCAAAAAGAGAATAGAAAGACACTCGACCCGGTCGACCCTCCCCCAAAACCTCAACCCCTCCAGCCCCATCCCATCACCACCATCCCTCCCTGGGCCCTCCAGGCTGGCCCTGGCGTGGTGAAGGTGGGCGACCGCATCCGACTGAAGTCGCAGTTCACCCACCGCTACCTGGCGCCTCGGCGTTGCACACGGAGACCGGGGAAGATCCACCGCGCGGCCTCGCACGTGTCGGCGTCGAGTGGTGTGCGGCGGAGGGTCGAGTAGTCGAGTGTGTGCGGCAGAGTCGAGGGGCGGAGCAGAGATGGTGGAGGAGACCGTGTTTAAGATGTCTCAAGGAAGATGGTCTTCGGGTGTGGGAGGGGATGTGCTTCCGAAGTACGTGGATCACCTGCAAGAAGTATATAACTGTTTTTCGAGGGGGGGGACGCCACGAAACAAGAACAGGTGGGAAAGGGTCAACCCTTTAAACTGAGGGAGTGAGGAGTGGAGCCCGCTTTGGTTAATTGGCTCATGTGATGTCGGACCACATCCCTTTGGGGGGCGAAAGAAGAGGAGCATGTGAGGCTTCCGAACAAGCTCAAAGACACCTCCTGCATGTGTTTACAGTGTTCTTTTCACATCCAAAAAGCCTCAACCACCTCCGATGCTTCGAGTTCCACCCATTCCACCCGTTCCACGGTGGAAACCCACCGTGACGCTCCAAGGATGTGCATCCCAGCAGCCACTTGCGGTGCCGCGCCCAACAGCCCTCGTTGGACCGGGAAGAGCTCGGTTGGGAGGGCCAGCAGGTTTCAAAGGAATTGTCTTTTTAGAATCCCCGTCGGCCTACCCTGGCTAGGATTGGGAGGTCCAGCTTGAGCCCCTGATCAATCTTGTTTTTAGCCAGAATCAGGCTCTCAGGCTGCATTTAGACTTTTTTGGTCATACTGACAACATGTTTCTTTCTGGCTGGCTAATAAAGCAGCATTGAGGAAACTTTTACTATATTTCTACCACACCAAGTACATTCATGATCATTCATGTACTATAACAAGTCTAGCCAAGATTCCTCGTAAGACCTCAGCTAGGCGTTGTGCAGCCAAACCTCGACCAGGTATGACCCGGTCCATTTGTCCACCGATTCTCAAGTCCAAAGAGGTCAATGCGTCGTTGCACTCTCAAATTCACAACCAATCTCAAGTCTGAACCGCCGATGTCAGCAGGACTACGACATGATCTTCACGGTGGAAGTGGTGGGATGCCGAGATGATTATGCTCTTTCTCGCCACTCAGCACTGACATTGGGAGAGTGTACGGAAGAAGAATCAGGGTGCTTGATGGTACTTGTGTTGTTCCCGAAAAAAAGCTTCTTGGGCCTGAAAAACCCTGGTGCCTTTCGGTACGATGTGGTCGACTGTATGGCATACCTAGCTAGAACCCAGACAAAAGACCACATTTTGGGCGGTTGGTGATGCAAACTAGAGGTCTCAGGTTCTAGGTACACATTGGGGTGGTGAAAAAGGGTTCAGTTGTAGGCACATACTAACATAGAAAACGCTTGGTTCTCTAGAGATACTTGGGCATCACGATTCTATGGAGAAACGGTTTTATGCGATGCAGAATGTGATTAAAGAAATGTCCTTAAAACGGTGTTAGAGGTTTTCTTTGTTGACGGGATAGACAATGGTGGTTAGATTGTTTGTATGCACCTATCCCCGTTTGTCCACTATATAGAATCAAGACCCCAAATATCACCCCACCACACCCTCACCCTTAAACATCCTTACATCTCCTTACCCTTCGCAAGTTTCATCACATTTATTTGTTAGGATCTAGATGCAAACCAGGGGTCCCTGATTCGATAGAGAAACTACATGAAACTACTTTCTAACATGCATTTTTTGACAAGTGCTCTGGCAACCTACTCTATCCTATTCTATAGAGATTGAATCCGGGGGTCGCCGATTTATGGAATGGTGATACCCACGTATCCACCCACTTTGTAAGGGATATTTTTCTTGCAACCTTTCGCAGTTCCCCAGGTGTGGGCATGGCGGGGAAGCTCAAGGAGTATCGTGGACTCCATGTGGAGTCCAGCCTCAAGCTCAAGGCATCAGCGACGCAGGGGGCACTGTTACGAAGCGAATCTGGTGAAGGTCGCTGCGAATCTGTGCGGATCTCCCAGCTACTCACTGCCCACGACTGACATAGGCTATAAAAGGGGATATTTGCGGTTGATACTAGTGAGTAATTATACGTGCTTTTGGATTGGGTCTTCCTTTCCCGGTGAAAGTCGCTCTAGAGCACGCATGGCACAATGCACCACGTTCGCCCTTCGCTACGGGATCGCATTAGCGCGCACGCACTCGTGAGGCCTGCGCATGCCATTAATACGATACCGGGAAACGGTGACATCTCGATTTGGAGACGTTGCAAACCTGCCGCTCAATCCTCTGTGCGAGCTACTGGCTACTGTGCTGTCAAGGGTTCTCAGAAGCGTTCATGTCTATACGCGCTAGCGGTCTGTCAACGAATGGCTTTTGGGTGGGGTTGATGTAACGCATCTCCGTTTCACATCTAAATGTTGCCTCAAAGCCAAGGGTAATGTGTTTTTTTAAAGACCAAAACACGCTGTTACTTCTTCCGGACCTGGGGGACTTCGACCTCCTACCACCGCATGGCTAGCCATCTGTGTCGTTGACTCGTGGGGGGGAACCCCGGCAGGTCAATGCCGTGAACTGCGTGACCGTGAGGCGATCGTGGTGATGTGAACGGCGAACTTGGAACGTGCAACCACACGCAACATGACTCCCAGGTTGACGAATCATTTTAGTTTTGGTTTGCTCCAAAACTCATGTCGATAGGTGCCTTTGGGTTTAACTTGTATTTTTTTCATGTGGGCATCATTTGATACATCTTCAGAACAGATTGCATGTTTTGGGGGGGTGAAATCCTCCACACTCCATGATTCCATGACCCACTACAAGGCAAAACAATATGTTTTAACCCCGCATATATCACTGACATTCACTGATGCCCATGATGTGTTTAGTTTTCCTAATTGATGTACACTCTGACTCACTAACATGGAAGTGGAAAATGGTCTTCAGAGTATTGGCACATTCAAAAAGGAGGCTGCACGGGTGGTCAATCCAGATTCCCCGCTGGCAAGATCCAGATTCCCCGCTCGCCCACTGGTGTTGCTTACAGGAACCGTGCGCACGTTACAGGGACTCCTACAGTGCTACAGAGTTGTGGACTACAAACAAATCGTTGGTCGACTGGGATGTCTCTCCCAACTTGAGAAGCCCAAACAACCTCGAATACATTCGCATACCATCTCAACAAGAGGTGGATCGGTGAGCAGGGCGGTGATGAACAGAAGCCTCCCCTTGGGTGGCAGGACCACCCCGGAACCGGAACCACCCCGTCCTCGCCATAGGATGGGGCAGAACAACTTCTTGACGTCCTTCGGACGCCTGGCCTTCGGACGCGTTGGGAGATGGTTCCGCGTAGTGGCCCTACGCGGAGTTGGTCAGAGGGCCATCCCAAAGGTGAAGACTCCGGCACAAGAATGAGTGAATTGACAGGAGTTCAAGTCAACGATTCCGGTGTTTCAGTCGACTGGAACTGGACCAAAGGGTTTGCTGGTACAGGATGGTACAAATAGTACATCAAATTCCACAAAAAATCTTCTGAAATAGTGATTGAGGAGGATTCACTCTTGAGACGAGGCCTTTATGAGTAGGGCCGAGTGGCACGTTGCGAACATGTCCATCTATTTTTGTTCCGGTTTCATGGCCTGTGAGATTGCTTCAATTGGTTTGGATTTTCGGAGGTCCATTTGGTTTGGTGCTTTTCGATATAGGGCCTTCCAGAAGAGTTTTGATTCTTGACTCTTAGATCAGGGACTACAGGACTATACAGTATACTACAGCTATATAATGTATACTGGTTCAGACTCTGAATGTGGGAGGGCTTGGTCTTTGACCCAACAGGCCTTTGATCAACTTGCTCTGTTGGAGGTTGGATTGAGGTCGAAAAAGGTGGGGATGAAATCCAGCACCAGAGGACCAGTGTGTGTGTGTGCTTTTCTTGCTGGACCCCTTTCCGTTCCAATGGAAAAGATCCGTTGACCGAACAGTTCTAAGGGAGTATTTTGAAACATTGGTGTTTGAGTTTTGTTCCACCCATCTCTCAAATCGGGCCGGACCCTGCCTCCGCCCTGTTCTGCTGAGCCCGTCGTGAACGACGGGGTCAGCCCTAAGGAGAGAGGTTTCCGGTGAAGAGCGAGCCGGTGAATGTGGCTTCGATGGCACTCGGAGGAGTGGCTTCATGGAACTGAAAGCGGGGGTCCAGCTCCATGGAACTGAAAGCGGGGGGTCACCGAGAGACCAGCAGTTCCATTGGAGCTGGTGTTTTGGGTCTGATGTGACCAGGCATTCCGGACGAAGTGTTGGAGACGAACGGAAGGAACGGCAGAGGGACGATGTCCGGAAGCCGTGCAGTTTCTTCGAAGATGGTTCCGACGCAGGGCGTTTTTTCTTTTTTTTTCCTCGAAAAGACATGAACAAAGTATGCTGTAATAGGCAGTAAGACAAGGACTTTGGCGTCAAGCACAAGATCTCTAAACCATTTGCAGAGTGATGTACACTGTATAATGTATTAAAAGTTGTTCATATTTTATTAATTGTTTTGTCCTTATTGTGACTTGATGCGCGTATATGCGCGTGCTTTTTTGAGTCATGGTCAGTGGATCTCAATCACAGGCGCCCCATACTTATCCCAGAGGATAGGAACCTTCAAATCAGCCCAAAACATGTCGTAGTAATAGGCGTATGAGGTGGCGCCGGTGAGAACCTGTCCCAGCAGATAGCTTCTGTAGCTTCTAAGGTGCTCTCGTCAGCAGGGCAGGTGTTCACCATCTACCGCGCCTTTGCCCGCAGTTGGTGTTGGATGGTTATATAATGTTCCCCAAAGCCATGCAGTACATGTACCATATGATGTGCATTCCGGAAGGGGAAGATGAACTTATTTACTTGCATGCATTTACTTGGTGCTGCATATGGATCATCATGAACACGCTACACTGAGACCATGGTCCATCTACAAGTGAAAGGACAGAAACCGTCATGGCACCCTAAAAAATCTGGCCCTCAAATGTAAAGGTGTTTGGGCACTTCTTTAACAACCAAACCCTAAGCTGGGTGGTGGTTTCAGCTATTCTTATGTTCAACCTAGTGTTCAACCTTTACTTAGATGGAACCCTTTGATTCATCTTTTTTGAGTGAGTTGAAACCACAAATCAGCCAAACCCGAGGGTTGCTCAAGTTGGTTCAAAACCAGATTGTGGTCTTGTGGTTTTTGGTGAATTTTTGGTGATATGGATTGTCTCAGTTCTTTTTCTTCACTTCTTTCCACCTCACATGCATCACCCTTTTCACACCAAATCTTAGGGACATAACATCCTTTCTCCTCCCTAATCCGATGTGTTGGAACTCCCGCTTTTCACCCCCAAAACCACGAAACCATGCGAAACCGCTCGTCCTCGTCGTTCGAAACCGCTCGTCCTCGCTCTCGTTCTCGTCGTTCGGGGTCGCCGTCGAGCTCTCGAGGCGATGGCGCGCAAGTCCTGGATTTCCACGCGCTGCATCAGACGGGGCGGAAGCCCATCAGGATGTGGTTACGGTGTTATCGGTGCGGATGTGATTTCTCCGGGGGAACGAGACACATTTTTTTGATTTTTTGGGGGGATTGGTCAATGACTGATCTTTGAATTCCACTGAATTCGCTCTCAAGCACATGCAAGAGATAATTGGATTGTGAAAGGCGCCTCACTTGTTTGGGAGGATTTGGAAAGCTCGATCTAGTTCTGGAGGGTCCCAAGAAGATGCTGTGAACAACACGCTCGAGCTTCATGTTGCACCAAATGCTGAGGGATCAGGGGGTCTTTGGGCTCAGCCATGTTGTTTTTTGCGTATCAGACTTGGACTGCAACTCCATGTGAACTCTTACACTTGGAGTCTGGAGCCTCCAATTCCGGTGGTTCCGACATTTCTTGGATGCTTATATTAATGTATTTATATATATATATACAGACACATATTATTGAACTAATATAGATGAGGTGGTAACAGGAGGGCACCCAGCTGGGTACAGGTTTGGATGGTTTTTTTCGCCGCTAAGGGCTCCTTGGTGATTCACATGTACCACTTCACTTCGTAGCATAGAGTAGCAGTAGTAGTAGTAGTAGAAGTAGACGTTGCCGATTGGTTTAGGTGATTTGTTCTCAAACGTATAAACATACCAGTCAGTGGATCACCTTTTTTTGGAATTGCTTTCCCCGCTCAGATTGCGATGCGAACATGTGGAAAAAGGTTAACTGCTATCTTCCCTACGAAAAAACCGGCTTCCCTGGGAAACAGTTGAAACCCTGCAGTGGACTTCCCTATCGGAGGAGTCAGGTTTATCGTTGTCCTGACAAGACAAGCCCAGATAGGCGAAGATCCATGTGTTTAATCCTAACATGTCGGGTGTACGCACTACACTGCCATGCTGTGTATGGATTCGGACGAGACAACAAAGCCGCTCTTGGAGAAGTCTCCGTCATCATGTCATCATGTCCGCACAGACACTACTGTCATGTCCTTGATCCTAACATGTCATCATGTGCTTGTCATCATGTCCTAACCTATCATGCATGCACTTGCATGTGCGACTCGACTCGGAAATCACACATCCACCTGGGGCTTTCCTTAACGCCTTCGCCGGTCGACCGTTTCCCGGCCCCGGTTGTTCGCGTGTGTGACCCTTCAGCACGAAAGAAAACCATACCTACTCTAAGTGCTGAGCGGATCTTCGGGGGGAACTGGCCTCTCCAACTCCAAGCAGGACTTTGGCCTCTCAGACCTCAGATGAGATCTTGCAGAAGACCATGATGGAGGCTGCACCTTCACACTACAGGGGCTCCCTGTGGGTGCTGCGATCCGACCGTTTTCCGAATGTCTCTTAGATCCGACCAAAGCAAGCTGAATGTTCCATTTTTCCGACGTGAAGCAGATGTGACCAAACATTTGCTGAAGAAGCTGCGTCTATTCCTGTTCAGGTATTAGAGGATTTTGGAGGCAAACTCGGCTATAGGTCCGTTTCAAGGTGTCGCCCAACAGCGTCAGCAGGGCCGATGTCCATGACATCCACAGATCATCTAACGCATCATGCATCCCCCCAAACGCCAGAAGATGCCAAACGTGCCTCGCTGGCGCTTGCGAGTTCAGGCGCATATGCGGACCGAAATCTCTGCCCCATCCTCTGTCGAAGAAGGCCTCGGTCGAATGTCGAACTGTTGGGGAGAGAATGTAAGCGAAGTAACAGCGTACACGTACTAGTCACCGATGTCACATCATGATGTGTACCGTTGTTCACGTGCTATGTACTTCGGTTCAAGTCCCCCATTGCCGGAGGATAGGAGCCCGCAAGTTGCCATTTGGGAGACGGATGGTCATCCACTACTTTCACGGTGTTTAGCTGACTACCACCTGTTCGCAAAGACTAATTTTAATAGTAGTATCACCCGTGGAATTACAGTAGAGGGGGGGAGGTTGTACACACGGAAAGTGAACCCCCAAAGGCGTCGGAGAGGTGAGTCCTCAAAGCAATTGCGGCCTCACACGGAGGTCCTTCACAAACATATGGGGAAATCGCGGCCATGCCACGATGCCACGGGAAGGTGGGTCATCTGTCTTAGAGATTGGATCATGCCTTTTTGAGATGCGCGTTGACTTGATGTAGGGCAATCTCCCGGTGCATGGGCGAGAAGACCTCAAAAGACCCCCACAGGTGCCGCAAAAGACCCTTCGAGATCGTATTGGCGGCCAGCGGCCAACAACCAAGCGCTGCTAGAAGCGGGACAGGGCACTGCAAGCGCATTTACAGGACCAGGGGATCATTTTTTGTGCGAGGCACTAGCCCAAGCCGACTTGCTTAGAACATCTCAGCCAAATTGGCTACCCGAAGGATAGTCCAAAAACCCATCGTCGCCGCCGTGGCGGCAAGCTGGGCGTTGGCAAGTTGGGGCATCCGTGCAAGAATTGGAGCAGCGATGCTGAAGTGGAGCACATCTTCGCACACTTCTCCTCGAAGACCTCAGGGCAGGGATGAAGTGTGCTCCAAGAGAAAACGCTTGCTCCGCTTGAGCTCTCAGCTGCAACGCGTACATAGTCTTTGCCTTCTCTGCTTTGTCACAAAGGGTAGACTGTCATAAGCGACATGCGCAACTGTGATTTGGCAAGAAGCCTTTGTGATTTTTGGCAATAGCTTGCGATGGGCTCGTCACTGCAAGCCGTTAACTGTCAACGATGCGCGTGTATCCGATTGCGCGAGGACACCGAGGCAAGCGTTGCAAAGGTTAATGCTTATACCGGCTTAATACAATTGAGACTTATATAGCTGCATGTGTAGGTATGCTACATGTACATCTGCAGGTTGCACCTGTGAGTTTCTAGGGGTAATACAATTGAAAGTGTAGGTATGCTACAATACAAGTACACCTGCAGTGGTCTCCCAGAGCTGCTGCTACGGTAGTGGTAATATAATTGAGGCTTATATCGCTGCACTTGTGGGCATGCTACAACAAGCACTTACAGGTGTGGTTTTCTAGTACGGTGAGACTAGCTGCGTCTGTCTGTTTGGTACAAGTACATCTGCAGCTTGCAGGTGTGGTTTTCCAGAGCTGCTGCCACGGAGGTGGTAATGCAATTGAGACTTATATAGCTGCACCTGTCGGTATGGTAGAAGTACATCTGCAGCTTGCAGGTCACGAAAGGTAGCCCTTTAGGGGATACCTTGAGTTTGTCTTGCGAAGCAAGTGTTGGGACGTCCGGGTCTAATAATTGATCGCTCAATTCAGACCCCCCCCTCGAATTGATTTTTCAATACAGACCCCTCCCCCCCGCCCCCTTGGAATTGATTTTTCAATACAGACCCCCCCCCCCTCCCCCCTCTAAAATCAATTCTCTCCTGGAGAACGTCTTCATGAGCCTCTCATGATTTCAGGATAGTTGAAACCCTCTTGAACATTCAGAAAGAGTGAATATGAAATTCTAATCACGAAAGGTGTTCCCCGAGGGGATACATACCAAGAGTTTGTTTTGTGAAGCACGTCAATTCTCTCCTGGGGAGCGTCTTCGTGAGCCTCTTATGGTTTCAGGATAGTTCAAATCCTATGATGTTCCGGTTCAATGCTCACCGATGATCTGAGCCATGGGGCAAGTTTGTTTTCCTAAGAATCTTTTTGAACATTTCGAGAGCATATGTTTGAACATTTAGAGTGCATATGAACATATATTTACGAAAGGTCGCCTCCGAGGGGATAAATCACCATGTCGAACATTGCATTTTTGTTCCTGCCTCTCGCGTTCTCTTCTCTTCCCGCTGTCCTACCTTTCGTGTCTCCCTCCTCTCAAGTGTGGTTTTCTAGAGCTCTTTCGAAAATGCTGCAGTTGTAGGTATTTTACAAGTACATCTGCAGTTTGCAGGTTTGGTTTTCTAGAGCTGCTGCTATGGAGGTAATACAATTGAGACTTGTATAGCTGCACTTCTACCATGCGGCCCAACCCCCACCATGACCAACTAGTGGCAGACACAGCAATGCGAACCTCGAAGTGCACATTTCGCGCAGGCAGAATTTTGAAGCGCAGGTCTTGTGGCGAACGCAGCGCTTTGAGCGCCTGCAATTGTAATTTCCGTGGCAGGTGAGCGTTTTGTGAACCGCAAGGTGCAGATTTCGAAGCAGGTGCAACATACTTTAGCCGCCCAAAAATTCGTTGCTGGCACTCCAGGCGATTCCGCCGCCTTCTTGGTTGGGAGTCATTTGGCGTTTACAAACTGACAACCAAGTGGGGAGACAGGGCCGTGAAAGTTTACTCCCAGAGTGGGGGCTGCTGCAATTCAACTTTGGTCGCCATAGTGCGACGAGTACCTGCCGCAACTTTTCTCGTGAAAGGGACCTTTACAATGACCCAGAAACGCATCAAGGTGATCTACCACCACGCTGCATCCGGAGAGGGGTTTGGGCGAACCTACATCCCACAACACCGCCGCCATGTCACACTAAACATGGTGGCTGGATTTGCAGCTAAGCAAGCAATGCGGCTCAAGCTCTTGGAAAGCCACAATCAAGGGATGGCGTTCCTTGTTGGAAGCTCCGCCACGTTGCTGCGCCGTGAGACCGTTCTCTGGGCAAGTGCGATGGCCAGGCCTCAGCCTGCACGCCGGTGTACAAAGAAGACCAACGTGAAAGCGGCACAGTTTGGCCGCCACGTCAGGTTGCTGGAAGAGGGCAACGTTGCCTACCTAATAGACGGAATTTACTTGTCCACTTATAAGTTAAGTAGCTCTAAGGTGGCTGTAACATGGTTTTAACCAGGTTAAGTAGAAAATAAATAGATATAAATTGTATAAGTACATGAAACACTTATTTTACTTAATTGCTATTTACAGCTACTTGAAGTAATTTCACTATGTAAAAATAAGTAGGCATGGTTCGTTTATGTATAAGTAGCATACGTATACTTAATTCTACTTAGGTCTACTTATTTCTACTTAATCTACTTATTTTATTTTGTTGTTTTTTTAGATTGTTGTTGTTGACTTCTATGTTTCAACATGTGATTTTGTACTTTTTGCTTTTTCAGAAGGTTTGTTAAAGGTCAAGTTTTCGCAGCGCAGCCTGTTGGCATAGGAGTTCATTGATATTTGGGCAAGTTTATCTGACCAGATGGTTGGCTAACAGGTTAGGAATGACGTGCCACAGCTTGTATTTCTCATTGGAAACATGACTTGCAGCACTATAGGGTTTGCTCATGGTATCTATAGGTATCTATCAGGTATCTATGAGGTATCTATCAGGTATCTATAGTTATCTTTACAAAACTACGTCAGGGTATCTATAGGTATCTATAGGTATCTATAGATATCCATACAAAACTATGCCAGGGTATCTATAGGTATCTATAGGTATCTTTAGATAACTATAGGTTTTATACATGGTATCTATAGGTATCTATCAGGTATCTATCAGATATCTATAGTATTTTGTGTGCCCGCTCTTGTAATATAAACAGCGGTGTGCCCGCTTCTATAGAGAGAAACACAGTGGTGTACTCAATATTATATGTTCATCGACATTCATTGTGTTTGTGAAAACACAAGAAGATGGATTTCTTTAGCCAAAATCATTTGTTCCAACAACAAAACTCTTGAAATCAGCTTTATAAAATCATGTGTCACTAGATAGTATGTCCAAAATCAGCATTTTCGACTTTGTGACTTGCCTTTTCTTAAACCATTAGTTTTTCAAACCTCTTCCACTTATTTCTACTTAATTCTACTTATTTCTACTTATAAGTACAAAGAAGTAACTTAAAAATACTTATTTTTAAATATTAAAATAAGTAGTTTTTAAGTAGATTTTAAGTAGGTGAAGTAAAAATAAGTTACTTCAAGTGGATAAGTTAAAACCGTCTATTAGGTAAGCATTTTGAAGAAATTGAACGCAGTGCACACTGACAGGGGCAGTGAATATTGCTTTGTCCGCCAATGTGCGCATTAAGTGGGCGTTATTTTGCATCACCGACCTGTGCCCATTCGCGCGGGCTCATCGTTGCTAGCCTTTTCCAGCGATCCCATTCCGCCACTCGTCGCCCCACTTTGTTCGTGCTTTGTGGCAGGCCCGTTAGATACAAAATCCGAAGAAGACATGCGTTCTGAAGAGGGTCCTTTCGCCGCGCACTGTCCGGCTCTGCCCGCAGGCCATGTCGTTACGCGAAATCTTGGCGATGTACAAGGCGCGCTCCATCTCCAGAATCAGACATTTCTGAAATCTGACATTGAGAAAATGCGCAGCAACATGTTTCAAAGATCGAGATGCGGGGGGGGTTCGGAAAGCGCTCATTGACCTCGGTCGCAGGTCCCTGACCCAATGCCGTCGCGTCAAGGCTGCGTGACACCAGAATGTCCGTCCGCAGCTTCGCAGCCGGTGCAATAACTCCTGCTGCGACAAGAAGCCAGCGTTGCCTGCGCAGGTACCTGGCTCACGTCGACGTAGAGAAAGTCAAAGGCTTTTGCTGCACCCGATGCTTTGAAAGAAATGTTGGGGACGCAGCGCAGACACTGATCCATTGCTTGTCATATTCAATCTTATTCTTGACCTGCGCGCGCCTGAGGCTCGCGGCAATGGAAAGAAGTGGAATGGCAAGCTGTGCTGCTATGAGTTGGCCCCGCCCGGTCTGTCCGTCAAAGCTTCATATTGCGGAGATCCACCGTGGATCTTCTCTAGGTGCCGTTCTCGAGCCGACTGGGCCACAGAGCACAGATTTCATGGCAGGCGCAGCGCATTTTGTGAAGCTTGAAGTCCAGATTCGTGGCGGGCACAGGACTTTGCTGGTATAGTGTATAGGGGGTCTGATGGAGGCAAAGGGAGAATTGCATGGTGGTAGGCATGAACCCTGGCCAGCCTGACATGGAGGGATTGGGCCCGTGTTTGCTCCTGAACATTTTGGGAATAATGCAACTTCTGGACGCGCCGTCAATTTTGGCCGCCTACTTGTCAATTTCGTTAATTAGAGCTCTCAGGGCCGGTAGAAACTTAGGATGTGGGGCGTTTGTTTGGACATGCAGTTGTTTGTAGACTCTGCGCCGTCTCAGCTGAGCTAGAACTGTAAAGCAAAATTGGCCAGAGCTTGGCCGCTGGTAAACGCCATGGACATCGCAGGGCTTTCGAGTCTCGTCTGCATCCGTGTCTTCACAGATCCTTTGGCTCACAGCGGTCAGCACGGTCGGTGTGTAAGACATAGACCTACGCAGAGACCTCAGCCATACGACCACCCACGTATGTAGACGGAACAATTTCGAAGCGATGCCAAAGCTTTTTTTCCATCTACTTTTGCATCATCGTCTTCAATGACTTTCTTCAAGATTCAGAAAATCGAGCCAGTTATCCGCCTGTGAAAGGGTTCGGCGCCGTCTTCCAAGGTTTGGCCCCCCCGTCGATTCCACTCACGTTGTTATCTGCTGTTTTCGTTATTTTGAAGCTCCCATCTCTGCTGAGGTTTGGGCAAACGCTTTGGGATACCCGAGCCTGGTCGGACCAAACTGCGGATATGGACGCTGAGGCGCGTTCATGTGGGCTTTTGCGGCGTTGTTTTTCGACTTTCCCTGCAAGGATTTTCCTGCCGCTGTTCAAGCCCCGGTCTTGTTGTGTAAATAACTGGCGATGGCAAAACCTTGCGCTAGTGGACAGACTCTGAGCAATGTTGTCCCACTGAGGCCCTGTCTTGGCCTCACTCATCGAATCATTGTGTTTGTTTGCGGGTTGGCTTTCCAAAGCTGCTGCCATCTGCCGCCTTTACGCTTGGAACTGAGGACTCGAGATGGACATGGAGGTCAGGGGGGCTACCACTTGGAAACTTCAACGCTTTCCCTTCCCCGCTGTGTTTTTGTGCTAGGAAGTTCCCGCCACAGTTCAAGCCTCAGAATTCAATTCTTTATGCAAAATGTTTCTTTCGGTGACGGACTGTGCTGGAACTCGGTTTTCTCAGGAGTTGCCGCCCGACTATTACCTTACGGAAGAGGATTTGATTTTGTAGCTTAGGGCGCTGTGCCCAAGCAGATACGCAGTGGAGCCGCAGTCTGGACCTAAGACGAGTTGCGGCCATGATCCTACAGTGACTACATGTTGTCTGAGTCCAGGTGCCAAACTCGAGGACGAGGGAGCGGGAGAAGCGCCAGAAGATTTGGACATCAGCTGACTGAGCTGTCAGAGATTTTTAGTCGGCCAACACGCGCCCCTTTCAACGCGCAGGTGCTCCCTGAGGACGCGCGCTTCAAGTTCTGGGAGGCCCAACGCTTTGTTTCCGTCGATTTCATTTCTTGCTGCCAGTTCTTTTGCTGAGGCCCGGCGCAAACACGAAGGCATTCGGCAGCCGAGGCCCGGGAAGCAGGCAGGGACCCTCCCGCCGTGTTCCTTCGACGGCCGCAACCTTGGACGAGTTCAATTCTATGAAGGCACGGCCCTGGAACATCAAGACCTGGTTGGATGCAGAAGTGATTGGGCGCCAATGAAGGAGGATAGCAGTGGTCTCCCGCTGTGCTTGCCAGTGGCACCACTGGGACACTACAGCACAGTTGCCAGGGCGAGGCTACAAAGAATTGTTTCACAGGCAGCTGCTCCAAGACTTGATAGGATGCAGCTGCCAGATAAGATGTCCACCACAGAGATGGGGACAAGGTCAACAACTGTGGAAGGAACTTGGAGGCAACGCGAAGAGGCTGCCACAGGGTTGAAGCGCAACTTCCGCTGTTTTGTGAATCTGAAGTGGCAGGCACTGTGAACTCCGTGGCAGGCTACCACCATACCACACTACTACACCACCACGACACCCCAACCACAACAAAATCATCTTCCCAGGATAGATCGTTGAAGCTGCCCAATGAACTACAACAGAACGCGCCTCCGTTGGCAGTCAAGCCATTTCCGACCCCCTGCCGGGCTGAATAACACCCCCCAAACAGATTTATGTGTACTTCCATACCTGGTCAAAGGATGTGTCATCGCCACGGGGTGAACGTGCCAGAGATGTAGAACTTGACTGAGTTGCAATAGCTGCCTCCACAACCCGCAGGAGGTTTTGTGAAACGTGGAGGAAAAGGTGATATTAATGAGCTAAGTTGCAGTTTTTCATGTGACATTTTCTAAATTTAAGTGATACCCACCTGCAAAGGCTTCTGTGACAAATCTCCATCTTGACTGCTCAGGATAGAACCATGGTTTTGCACTTGGGTTCATGAGGCGGCAACTCTTGCCAGGTCAGGTAGTGTGCAAGAAAATATGCCAGAAAGGATGTCAAAGGATATGCCAGCTAGAACGTGCCAGATAGAATGCCAAAAGATACGCCGGAAAACATGCCAAAATGTGACAATGTGAGAAAAATTGCAAGACAGAATGCACATGTTTAAAAACTGTTTATGTCAGGTAGAATGCCGGACCACCTTCGTCTCCTCTCCAGTGACGCGCAATCTAGTTTTTGTTTTTTCAACCGAAATTTGCGCCACAACTTTGGGATGGGGTGAGCGAAGAGTAGTTCGGTGTGTTGCACGCAAAGGTTTCACTCATACACGGAACTGGATGGATGAACCGAGTACCCTCTGGTTTTGCCATGTTTTGTTGCCAAACGATGCATTTTTTTGAAACTGATCCATTACTAGAGAACGCCCGGCAAAATCACGTGGTGTTATAGTTTCTGTCCTATGTGCATTTTTGTGGATCGGTTGTTCCGTTTTGAGTGGCCCGGCTAGACCAACCACTCGGTGAGGCTCCTTTCGCCGTGTGCCTCCTGCCTTCAAGACGATGCCACTCGGCGGGAACGGGCGTGTTCGTGCAACGACTGCCACATTTGAGGGATTTTTTTTGGGGAACATATTTGGCTGAATGGTATTGCTATAATGTGTTCCTTGGTGGCATGAATGGGTGAGGAACTGAGGCAGAAGGAAAAATACAATTGGAGGAGGCGAGGCAAGACTATTGAGGACGAAGGAGGGAACACCAGGCCCTTTGTTTAAAAGTACTATTCTCTCACAAACCTTAAAAACAAACTACAGTTGTTGGTGGTTGGGTGTTTTAGCCGCAATGGTCATGGTGATTATCTCGTGCGGAGGAGAGATCATATTGTTTGGTGTTTTAGCCGCCGCAATGGCGGTTCTCTTGTGCCGAGGAGAGATCATACAGGGTGGTCTTGAAGTTCAAGAGCAGATGCCATTGCAAGGACACATCCAATGTTTAGATGTCCAGAACATCTTCAGCAACGATACAGACCCTGCAGAGACTTGCTCTAGCCCCCATCAAATCCAACAAAGTTGATTGACTCAAAGCATCCCTAAACTTCCTACCGAAAACGCCGGTCCTACCGTCAAAAGTTCGATGGATGGCCCATCGAAAATGCACTCAGGATGTGGAGCATCGCAGGGAACTTCCGAGGACCTCGCCGGTTTGCCAGTTCAACCGAAAAAACGGAGGGACCACAGCGGCAACCACGCACAGTCGGACCTGTTTGGAACTTCCGGAGCAATTTGTGTGTTTTCGTGGATTATACCGAACAGGGCCCATTTTCCCCGAAACTCGGAATGTGTATGTTTTTTGTCATTTTCCTTCGTTCCTGGAGAGCAAATCCAAGTCATCTCGACTGCAGCAATGCCGGTGTCAAGTACTTGAGAGCTTGCCGAACAGTGTAGAGTTTTGATATTGCAACCTCACCATGAAGGTTGCATCACAGAACATCTTCTATGAACATATGACCTTGCAAAAGAATTGGCATCCTCAAGAATCCAGTATTTCCACATGTCAAAGTGTTAAAACTCTTCCACTTTTCCAGCTTTTCCAGCCTGAAGCCCAACAAAATGGATTCTTTCCACCTGCCCGCAGCCGCAGGAGATGCGGCCCAGACAAAGAACCTGCCCGAGGTGCGGCCGCGATGCAGTTGACAGGGTGTGTTGGATCCCGAAGAGGTCCGATCAGGGGATGATCCTCAGGGTGTTTGCGAGGCCTGAAACATGTGGAGAGGTTCATGAAAGTAGGGTTTGCCCCACAGACCAGGCTCACCAGAAAGGGACAAAAGACATTGTTATATTATTATGTACATGTGTGTTGAGCTGAGGGAAGTGAGTGCAAAGGGCATATCACTTGGTCTGACAGAGGTGAGAGACAGTGTGAGACATGACAAGGTGTCGAGCCTGGCGCATTGGATCTTGCATCAACGACACCTTGTCGAATTGAAGCAGCAAAGCCGAAAGTCGCTCCCTGGGAGAAGGTAGAGCAGATTGAGCTGGTGATTTCAGGAATGCTTGATTTCAGGCATGCTTGCATATGCTCGCTCTGACCAAGCGGAGCAAAAGAAGAAGGCAAGCTTGGCAAAGATTGGGGCCTTCAACACTGCTTGATGAGCTTGGTTTTGCCTACGGTGAGTGTTTTTTTCCCGAACTGGGCGAATCCCCGACACTGGGGAGTATGTTCAGAAAATCCAAGTACAGTGGCTTCAGAGTAGATGGCACAGACCCTATGATGCCATCTAATCTACTCTCAACCCACTTATAAGTTCTTCAAACACATAACTCTGTCCCACCAGCCGTGCTACGCATGGACTGTCCATAGCAGTGGTGCTGGTCTCTCAGGAACCAGCTTTGTTCGCCTTCATGTCCACTCCACATCTGTTTCCGCTGTCCCCCCCCACGAGCAAGTTCTACCATGTTGTGCTGCTCAGATGCCTCCCGCATCCCGGTTTTTTCAGAGGCCCAGGCCGCCTCCTCCACTACCACCGCCACCAAAAGCAGCAACGACGACAACCAAAACACATGGTATCTATAGGATTGACGGCCAGGGTTCATCATTTTCTAGCATTCTTTGCCAAACGGTGCATGATGATCATGATGTTCAAGTGAGCTTTTGCCCGACCCAATCAAAGGGACCAGGGCTTTTGGCTTCGGATGTGTGGTGGAAGCCTTTGCATACTACATACCAAAAATTTGGGAGAATCACGGTGGACCCCCCCCAAAAAGATCAACCTAATCAGCAAAACACCAATTAATCAGACATAAGTACTGTATATTTAAAGTAACTGTTATTCATAGTCTCCCACTTAGGCAGCCCAGCTCCTAGGGGCTCTTGTTGTTCCACTCATTTCCTCGACCGCCTCGTCCAAACGCCTCAGGCCTCGTTGCGAAAGCTGTGGCAGATGGGCAACTTGGAGAGTCGGAGGGGGCCGTGAGTCGGAGGGCGCCCAAAGCCAGTCGCTCGCAGACCTGACGAGCCTGAATCCCGAAGTTTCGTTCTACTCGGGATGGTACATTACGAAATGCTACGAAACCAGGTCGGTCAACCATGTGTTTTTCTTAATCCTAGGCAACTTCTATCCTTTTGGGCTTACATGGGTTTACCATTATTGATTGACTGACAGGTCTTGGAAGGCTGGTGTCTCCCTTCTTAAAATTGAAGAGGTGGCTGCAGCTCAAGAAATTGTCAGGGCTTCAACTTGCAACAGTTTTTTTGGGACGATTTGTCTTGGGTGCATATGTCATGCCATCCTTTTTTTGCAACGGCCCACGGCCTACCTTGTAGTCACGATCCCACATGGAAACCCAAGTTGGATCCCACATGCTTTCAGATTCGTGAGTTCTTGTTTCAATCCGGGTGCCACAAATGTCAGCGACTGAGATTCGAACAGATTCAGCTATAGGAAGTGTCCTTACGAAGAGTCGATCCCCACTCATGAACTTAAACATGTATTCTTTTTAATCGTGCCACTATCTATTTGGGACCGCTCAAGGCACCAAGTTCTCGGTGTATGCACCCGCCACATCGCCGAGAAACACGTTCCTTCCACGGCGATGTGTTGCGTCAGCTTGTTGCCCCAAGACTGCTTGTGTTCATCCAAAACGATTGGTGCATGCCACAGAAAGACAGAAAGCAACACCAGCTCACCTCAAGTAACGATCTTCTAGTACATAGTACATTTGTGTGTGTGTGTATGTGTCATGTGTGTGTTTCCACGGTTTTTTACACCCTACACCAGGTGTGCTTAACGCCTCATGCCTCAAAAGAAGCTAAAGACAAGCGCTTTTCTTGGAGAAGCTGCTACAGTAGCCGTGCACCATGAGGCTCTATGAACGTGGCGGCTGTGCTCCGGTGCGCTTACATGTTGCTGGAGGTGCCCAAAGCGCCCGGCGGACGCAGGCGCGGGGGGCAGCCGGGCGGGCGGCAGCCGGGCACGTCTCGGTTTCGGTGAACATGACGAGACAAAAGACATGACACCCAGCGGTCACATGTCGGGGTGGGTCTTAGTCCCATCCAGTGAGTGGATAATGGACACCCCTATCCTCCAATAGGCACCCCGTTGTGACTCCTGGACTATAACTATTAATTATTCTTTGTATTTAATATACGATAGTAGCAAAGCACCCCCGGGATGGATGATGACCAGTGGGCATTACAACCATCCGATGTCATTTAGAGATGTACCAGGCCATGACTATAGGAGCTGCGCAGTTTCGATATTTGTTCTGAACAAAACTGCCATGTGAAGGTCGACCTCCCTGGAGCCCCGGGTCGACCTCCCCAGGAAGGTTGACCCTGCTCCACCTCCATGTCATGGCCTCGATGACTGATGACAGGTACCTCTTGGTTGTACACGGTACCTGCCAGGTATCCTCTCTATTAATCAATCGATCAACCAATAGTAGAAGGACATCTATGCCTCCATGTGAAGTGAGCACCAGCCACAGATTGAAGTTTCAATCTCTCAGCTTCGATGATATTTCAAGCCTCCAAATCTCCAGTTCCAAAGAGTTTCACCAGTTCCAAAGAGTCCAGACATCTTCTAGCAAGATGGGGGGAAACCAGACATCGGGCAGTTGCCGGTACCCTACGGCCGTCCGGCCATGCTCCGTTGAACGACCCCTGCTTGGCGAGTGCATGAGGAACTTTAGTTGCACTAAGCTGCACACATGTAGCCTCAAAATTGCTGGACGGGTTCTTCATTGGACACAAAGTCCATCGCCATCGTTTTTTTGCGGGTGAACGCAGTGGTTTCTACGGTTTCTACGGCTCCTGGCCCGCATCCTCGGCAGTTAGAGCATGTTAGAGCATGCTTTGCCTCCCAAAACCACCCACCCCAACCACCTCCTTTTTCGGATGTGGGACTGGAGCCCAAACGGGTCTTGTCGATGATAGAAGCCCATCATCGGCACCTGACCACAGCGCCGTTGCATCTGTCGATGTGGTGCTGCCGGTGCTGCCCACTGGCGTTCATCAACCGAAACCCAGCGAGGGACGACCCGTCGCGAACGGTTGAAGAACCCGGATGGATTTCTAAGAGGTGTTTCCTGGTGACAAACTGTGACAAGAGGTGCCCAGAAACCGTACTACTGTAGGGTCCAAACACCACCTGGTTGGAAGGTCTTATATGTTATATAATAGGATATATTATATGGGGTTTTCCTGAACTAGATGACTACCCAAAACATGTCTCTGTCCTCAACATTCCTGGGATTCGCACCCAGACCGGTCCAACTAGGCCGTACTCTCTCTCAGGACCTTCCGTTCGGTGCATCGGGCAGTTGCGCAGGTACATTTTGGAAGTGTTCTCGAGCCGTTTGACGCGGCACTCGGTGCTCTCCAGGACGGGTTCTTCGGGTTCTTCGGGTGAAACCGCTGGGTGGGTGGGTTTCAAAAAAAGGTTGTCACTGCCACAAGAGCAACGGCTTTGGTCCGGGGACAGCCCTGTACTATAGATTTAGATGGTCTTCTGAAAGGAAGGAGTGGAATTCAGACTGAACGGCGGTTGAAACATGTGCTAGCTAGTTGATGTTAATTGCAGGCCTTGAACATGGGCAGTCGTGACATGAACACATTCCAGCCAGCCTTTACTATACATGGCGTTTGAACTCTGGAATAGTGGCTGCGGTAGCCAGAAGCTAGATGAGTTTATCATGTTTTAGAGATCCTGTACCAGAAAAGGATACACTGACGGAAGTGGATGGCATGGCCCCTTGGATACAAACAGGCGGTTTTCCACTTCAATATATAAATATTTAATGGAGTGTACTCTTGGTCCTGGTCATGGACATGGACATTCGGTGAACCCCCACCACTGGAATCAGCAATGTGGACAGAGAGCTCCGAGCTTCTCGTGGCTTACTTCTCTCACGCAAGAGGATTGCAGGACAACATCGACCATTCAACCAGTTTGAAGACCAGATTCCAGCTTCCATCTGGGTATTTTTTTTGGGGGGGTTCGGTCGACTTCGTGGCCGACCAAGCCCACTTCGCACGGCACGAACCGAAGGGCGAAGGGCGAAGCCGAAGGGTCCGAACGCAGCTTCTCCCGCGCGGTCGCCGAACGCCGCATGACTCGAGGATCATCAGCATGGTCTCGGCCCTTCAGACGGTAGGCTGGGACGGACCAGACACGGCACGGAGGACGAGGACGTGTAGCGACTGAGAGCCGACTCCTATCTGGAGCGACCCTCTATAGACCTGACAAAAAAGTGGTGCACCTGGGCTGGCCTGGCTTTAAGGGAATGGGGTGCCATGCCCCGCACGTTCTGAATGGTGGGCTTACACTCGAAATCATCACGGAAGGTGGACAACCACGTGTTTGTACAGAACAACGGTCATATGCAATTGGGGCCATGCCACGTACGTAATCAGGATGAAAATCCAGGGTAGTGTCTTCATATCATATAGATTATCGTATAGATAAGGCATATCATATCCTATAGTCATATTACCTGAAAGCCATCCTATCTTCCTATCATGTCCTACACCGCCCCTACCACCTTTTGCGAGCCCATTTCCACACCTGAAAGCCTTTCAAGTAGCACTTTATAAGCCCCATAGGGATGCACTGCCGCCTTCTCAGAAGGTACTTTCCAGGGGTCCAAGGCTACATAAAAGTGTCGAAGACATCACATGATCCTCAGAAAGTTTTAACGGGTGTGACGATCTGACCGTGCTGTACATGCCACAAAACATACAGCAGATCTGCAACAGATGGACTTGCAGATCTGCAACAGATGGACTTGCAGATCTGCAACAGACCGCATCCAATTGATACCTTCTGAAGTCTCCCAATGCTGGAAAATCCATTACAGTGGTTTCAGAGTAGATGGCACAGACCCCAAGATGTCCTAGACAGATGGGAATCCATATAAACCACCTCTTGGGGTCTGTCCCATCTACTCTCAATCCACTATATGTATTCAGAATGTTCAGTGTTTTTGGTTATGGAATGCGCTTCTTAGCCTCAACAACGCTCAGCTTCCGTCTTCGGTCTGTCAAACCAGACGCTTCTTGTGGTGTTCCAAAACCTCGTTGCACCTCTTTGCTGTCTCCACCTGCACCGCGCGTTCACGCGCTACGACCCGCGTTCACGCGTTCACGCCGCGCGCTACGAAACGCCATTCACTCGTTGAGGCCAAAAGCTGCAGGAGTCGGAGGACCCAGACATCACCTGCGCCCTGTTGCCCAAGAAGTTCCTCAGGATGTCGGTGACACCGTGACAGGGTCCGGTGGACCGACTTGGAGGGGGGACGAGACTCGAGACCGGTGTGGGGGGTGAGGTGAAAGAGGAGAACATCTCAAGTTGAGAGGCAAATTGCTTGGGAGGCTTGCTAAATACACTAAGCTAGGCATCAATTGATAGGCCATGTTGGTAAGGCAAGGCTGTTGCAGCTCGAATGAGTTGGTCATTCTCAGTGGTTTGAGGTAGGGTAGATTGGTAGAAGAAGCTCTTTATACCCATGTGGATCCATGTGGTTGGGTTTCTGTTTGGGCTACAGTTGGTACCGGTTTCTGTCGGACACAGGGGGATCCGGAAGTTTGGCAACACCATCACAAGTGTTGATTCAGGGGAAAAATAACTGGAACTGAGTGGGAAAGTTTTATCTTGACAAACCAGCATTCGAAGGTAGTTTAATTTAGAACGGGCCACTAGACTTGTTGGGGCACGTTCATTCAGCAATGCGTATGCCGCATGGTTGGGTCAGTTGACTCCTTACAATCACGATCAACCACGTAACCTTCCAGAGGCCAGCGGGGTTCAGAGAGAGTCTTTTCTATTTATTACCACGCGGCTTTGTATACTTTGGTGCTCCGAATTGTCAAGAGTTTCGGGTGAGGCATGGTGAGGCTATGGCAAGAGAACATGCTTCACGGTCCTCACGGATCTTCAGAGCCATGATTCCGGTGTTCGACGCACAAAGAGAATGTGTGAAATGACTTCCTCGGTTTCCCCAGTCCCAACCAGAAACACATGGTTGGAACCCAAGGCTTTCTTGAGATCCTTTACTTACATAGTGGGAACATCCATTTGTTTCTGGTTGAGACTGGTTGTCCATGGTATAATATATATAAACATGGTCTTTACAACTCCAAACTGGATTCCAACCACGGCATTTCAGGTTTTCCATTCCAACCACGGCCTCGTTGGCCGGTTTCCAGGTTGGAGAGTTTCCTCACTTGGTGAGACGGTCTTAATTTTGCACTCATCGGTCTGAGCCGTCTGGCTGAGCTGGGCCGTCGGTTCAGCTGAGCTGGTCCGCTGGTTCGCTTCGGCTTGCCCAATCAATGAATATAATGAATTGTGAAGCTGAGCTGCGTAAAAGACATGTGACTTCCGAAATAGCAATGGTCATTTGAGTTGACCAGTTAACGCAAGAACTCAGCTGTTCATCCGCCACAAATGTTAGGGACAACACAAGAAACAGTTATACAGTTATACATGCTACTATTTTTAGCCCCCCCATACGGGGCACCGCTTCATTCGCTTTGTGCAGCTTAGATACCCTCACGGCAGCCTGATTGCTTGGCCGTGCGACCACATGGAAGCAACAGCTTTCTCTGGCGAGATGGTCGCCCAGGTCCGAGCTCCAAGTCATGGTGGAACAAGGACAAACGATTAGGGACCTCAAGCAGTTCCTGGCAGAACGAATTGGATATTCGCGGTTTCGGCAAAGGCTCTTCGGAGTCATGGGCGAGTTGCGGGATGACATGCAAGTGAGGCCACCGCCAAGGGTGCAGTTGGTGATCCTTGACTTTTGTGCTCCTGATGAGGCAGTAGAGGAAGAATTGCTTCGAACATGTGGAGAGAATGATGTAGGCAAACTTGAGCAGCTGCTTCAGAAAAAGTAAGAAAAGATGGTTCAAGGGCTTTGCATGTTGCGGCTTCAAGAGGCCGCTTGGAAGTTGTGCGGATGTTGCTGGAAGCTGGAGCTGACAAAGATGCAGCAAGAGAAGATGGCTCAGCGGCTTTGTATTTTGCGGCTGCGGAAGGCCACTTGGAAGTTGTGCGCCTGTTGCTGGAAGCTGGAGCTGACAAAGAAACAGCAAGAGAAGATGGTTCAACGGCTTTGTGTTTGCGGCTTGGAAAGGCCGCTTGGCAGTTGTGCGTCTGTTGCTCGAAGCTGCGCTGACAAAGAACCAGCAAGCGAAAATTGTTCAAGGGTGGCTTCGAAAGGCATCTTGGAAGTTGTGCGTCTGTTAATGCTCGAAGCTGGAGCTGACAGAGATGTGGCAGTCTGAGGAATCGTGGCTTTGTCTGGCAGCCGCGAAAGCGTTGCGAAGGGACTGGCGAAAGGTTCTTGTAAGCTTAATAAAAGTTCCGGGTGGTTTTTGACACCGCTCATTGCTCATGTTGGATTTCTCAATCTTGATGAGCTTCATATCTCGGCGAGGTTCATGATAGATTATATTGGATATTGGAAGTCAGAACCTATCTCCACGGATAGCAACAACTTTTGTATCATTTTGGCATGCTTGCCCGTGCATTCATTGGCTCATTGTGATGATAAATGATGGACATTTTTGTGACATGCGAACTGCCCAGGTCTCATGATATCCCCCCACGAAATCGTGGTTCGTTTTGCCCCACAAAAAATCACGCGCGTTTTGCTTTGATTTTTTGGGTCTTCCGGGGATGTTTGGCGTTAAAACCGCGTTTGGGTCGACCTCCTTCGCTCCTCGGCCCCCCCCCCCCAGGGACTCGTGGCGGTGAAATCGCTCTCGCTCAGCAGGATTTGTGATGCGGCGATCACGAATCTCCCGCTGTGTCAGAGCCCGGATGACGTCGAGGTGCCCAGCGTCGGACGGTCGGACTCGCGATCGGCGGTCTGTCACGGTTGGCCGGGTCGTAAGTTTCGTTGTGTCTTCTGAACTGGTGGGAATGGGGACCCAGTTACGGGTGGTTGGAGCATTGGCAGCATTGCACCCAACAAGTCAGATGGGGATGGGTGGTTCAACTTGGAGCCCGACCGGTCCTTTCCCAGGATGTTCGACTTGATGAGATCAAGGTCATTAAGAGCCAATGCTTCTGAAGGCTTCCAATTAAGAGATATTAAGAGGTAAAGTAGAAGATGGTAGAAGTCCTACGTATTCCAGGACAAAAATATATGATACATCGATTTGCATGTACACCAGATGGTGGCGTTGTGCTGATCTTTTGTAGAGCCATGACGACGTCGTCTCCGGATCGTCTTCAGGCTTTGTTGAAGTCACGGAGTTCGAACGGTGGAACCGGTCCTGAAGAACCACCATGGGACGGAAACATGGTGGACAATGGTGAAACGAAACGGAGTCCTCAAGCCCAAGCAAATCCACTAGATCAGTAGAACATATATATATATACAGAAATATGGATCCTCAAGCCCAACGAATTGGCCCAATTAGTTCAATGCACTTTGGAGGGATTGGACACGTTTTGAAGACCACAACTCGTCTTTTCTCTTCACCCCTCCACCCGCGCCTGGGCTTATCCACAGCAGCCATAGATGGCCTTATATATTGGTTTTGGGACGTATTTGGTACAATATCGTAACATCGTACCAAACCGACCTTCCCAAACTGGACAGCTTCCACAGCGCCGATCTTGAATCAGGGCTCGCATCAGAATCAGCGAGAACAAGAGCGCCATGAACGCGAATTGGCCACCTTGGACCGCGAGCGCATTTGGACTCTGAGTCTCGTAGGCGGGGTCTCCTCCGGGGCAGGTGCCGGAGCTTTCGAGCGAGCGATGGCCCAAATATGCCCTGCCATGCCTTCGTGGGGAAGTGGGGAGTTGAAGACGTTTTGGGCAACTGGCAGACCTAAGGTGGAATTTTGATGAAAACAAACAAAAGACACATGGATGGAAAAACCTCAGGCCCCAGGCCCGGCGGGTTGAAATATCAAGAGTCTACATGACAGAGTTGGAAGGCCCCTCAAGCCTTCTGGGTGACAGAATCTCCGGAATTCCCAAAGGAAACCGGGCCTCCAACAGGTCTTTTTGAAGGCTGTTGGCTAGTTTGTGTAGGCAGGAATACTGTTTGAATCTGTTTGTTTTTGGTAGAAACAGTCCATTTGGAGTCCATAGATGTGGTTGTCATGTTCCATCAATCATGTTCCATGGGTCGTTGGTGTTAGGCAGGCGTCCAGCCTGCCTTGGAGAGCTGGCAGAAATGCTGGACCAGTTGCTGGACTCAGTTGCAACAGTGCTGGATGATCTCCAGCGCCATTGGCTGCAGCGGTGTGGAAGGTTTGCTGGCTGCAGCAGTCCGAATGCTCGCCACGGTGCGATCGAGGTGGTCAGACGACTGCTTGCTGAGAGACCAGCGAAATGCTTGCTGAGAAAGCAGCGAATCGTCTTCAAGAGTTTGCTGAGAGATGCAGCTCAACCCACTGAGGTTAAAATTGGAAGACTTCGATGTTGCTGGCACTCAAAGCTGGAAGTGGAACTGTAGTGTATTTGGAGCTTCGCGCACATCTCATCTTACTGGCCTGCGTGCGTATTTGGCATGCAAGACCTTGCTCTAGTCTTATCCTCAAGACTTGACTAATCTGCAACGTGTGACGCAAAGGTGTGACTAATCGACATGTCGATGGCACCAGATGCTGAGGAACGCTGATTGACCATGGAAGACGCTCAGTCTCTATTGGTTTCCTCTTTGCGCTCATGAAGAAGATGTCAGCGACTGTCCAGGTCCAGGCTGTGCAAGATCAGCCAATGCTGCTACTGGTGGCACAGTGTATGCAGTGTGCCGCAGTGCGGAGCAAGTCCGCAAGCTATATGTATACACACACGCTTTGATGCCAGCATCATGGTACTTTCGACGACAATTTAATCCTAGAATGTTTACAGCATTTTGCAATTTTGCCTACAGTATGTGCACGTTGTTCATTGTTGTTCTAATACGTTGGCAAAAACCTATCTTGATGTCTTCTGGTCCATTACGTCACTACGTACATATAATAAATACCTAGAACCCAAACATAACCCCTGTTTTGATAGGAAGCAAGACCATATTTTGGGTGGTGAGCGATTCAAAATAGAGGTCACTCAGGTATATCCAACATTGTATACTCTACCCAGACCCCAACTTCTGCCCTGTGCTTCTTCCAGGCACCTATGCCTGCCGCTTCGTGGCCGGGAGGTCCCAGATTGAAATCTTGCCAAACGACCGACAGGACAACGCACTTCAGACCATCCATGGGGCTGGAATTCTGTAGAGTCTATACATGAGTCAGTCTATAGAGCCTGAGTGACCTCTATTTTGGATCACCAACCACACCGATACCCAAATATGCATTTATTCCCTATCAAAGGTCTCGCCATGTAAATGCTTATGCTGAGACATGCAAGGCTTAATTCCTTGCCCTTCCGAGCGGTTGATTACAGTGACAGGGTCTTTGGGCTCCACGTGATCTACATGTGATGAAAAAAAAGCTTTTTCGGACTCGGCACTCGAGTCGGACTCCACTTCCCCTCGAGATCTCCACCGCTCATCTTAAGAAATAACTATTAAGACATATTAAGACTACTCCCAAGAAATCATAATATATCATAATATATTATCGTAATATATTGAAACACATATAATGTCAATGCTCGGAATTGGATGTTGTTTTTATTTTCAATGCGCTTTTCTACTCCTTCCCATCTCCTTCCACCTCTTTCAACCGGCCGCTTCACGCTCCGACCCCACCTCCGACCGGCCTTTTCTCCCGGTGCGGCCCAGGTTCGGCCGATCTTGCGAAAGCTGCAGGTGGCCAGCCAACGGCCCCTGCCGGCCGATGAGGCCAACCGTGGGACGTGTGTTATTTTTGAGCTTCTTTTCTGGGATGATGAGGCGACTGACTCGGTTTGAGGGCGGATGCTCTTGGTTTGGGTGAGAGCCTGAGTATTCTCTGGATTTGACTTCAAACACATGTATAGATACTCGTAGATGATTTCTTCAAGATGCCGGACGGATGTCGCAGGGCAACAAAAATCATGGGAGCATACGGTAGACCATCATGGTATGAGTTGCTCAGATTCCTTGGCAGGTTTCTTCTTCGCCCTACAGGTCAAAGATATCATTTTACTGGAGTTGATCATTCATACAAGAACGTACAATACTCAATTATGAGGCAAGGGACCAGGTTTTACTGGGTCAGACTGGACCTGTACAGTTCCTTTAGGTCACTGAGTTCCGTCTCATTTGACCGTCTTCCCTGCGCAGCTCTTGGTCTTCGCGGACTTTGCAAATTTGATGGCTGCACTAGTTCAGAGCATCTTTGACAATGAGATGCGTTGCCTCACGCAGGAGAGCGCTTCGTTTTGGCCTGTTGCTGACCTGGGTTTGGTTATAAGGAGGGCATTAGGCACCGCGGAACGCAGGCTAACGAGGAAGGCTGACACTTGGGATTCCACCCACCCAGCCAAACATAGGAGGGAAAATCGGCAGTCCTCGCGTGTACCGTTGACGTTCGCGTTCGGTCCTTTGTGTCCGGATGTCTTCGGGTCGTCGGAGGATCGAAGTGTTTGCCTTCGGGTAGGGAGGTGGTTTGTCCTCGTTCTTGTGACCGGGAATTCTTCAATTGAGAAACCATTCACAGAAGTGCTTTTTAGGGGGAATGATGGGGAATGGCTGTTGTTCAAGAGAAACAACCACCAGTTTGACACCATATAAGCCGCAAGTTCCAGCAATGAGGAAACGCGGTTTTCGTTATGGTACACAAAGCAAAAAGCAAAAAACCATTATCTCAGCTTTCTCACATATGACCTGAGATAGAGGGAGCTCTACTTGCCCTGGCAGGACCATAAGAAGCGTGCCAGTCCAGATGCCCTGGCCTTGCAAGACAAGGCACGCTGTCACGGTGTTTCCGTGGGAAAGGACGTGGCAGTGTTTGAAAACGGGCCGGGGAAGCAACACGTGTTTCCGTGGGAAAGGACGCCTTCTGCAAAAAGATCGATGTTCAATTCGCTTGTGTTCGCTCTTCTTATTGGTCAGCCACTGAGATTTGAGCAAGGGATTTTTCGAGGCACTGCTGCTATAGCTTAAGGTCCCAGTCCCAGTTCTACATTTCTGAAACGGAACACAACCACCTGGCTTTTTTCTGTATTTCCCGCTTCGTTCTATATAGTTGTGCCTCAATCCGTTGTTTCATCCTGCTCGGATTGTGAGGCTCCGAAGTCGTGGTACCGCGATTTTTGGCTGGCTCAGTCCAACTTAAAGTATTTTACGTCTGTGGCATGTAGAAGTAATAACATATACCATTGTGGGTGACGCAGAGGCTAGTTTTTCGGTTTTTGAGTCCCTTTGAATTCAATTCCCCAGGCCTCTCAGAGATAAGAAAGAATCGGTTTTTTTGGGGAGGCTGTGATTCATCCCCAGTCTACATGTGTATCTGGGGTCTTGAACTGCCAGCCACATGGTGCCACCCTGGCTCGGCAGAAGTGAAAAGAAAAGGTACAGTCTACAGTGGTTGAAAAGAGTAGATGGCACAAGACATCACAAGACCAAAAAGTTGTTCGTATATGTTTATGTATGGATCCCATCAAACAGACATGTAGCGGGTTGTGCCATCATGTGCCATCTACTCTGCAACCACTGTACTTGAAACTCCAAGTCTTGTAACCTGAGGAGGTATTTTCAATGGTGACACAGATGACATCCTCACACAACTTACGAGGTGAGTATACCCAGGTGGCCATCGATTCACATCAACTTCACATCTTCCCATTGCGGACGTGTACAGTGTACAGAACTGCCAGGAGTCACAATGATAGGGGTGCCCCTGTCACATCCACAGCCCCTGGATGGGACGAAACACCACCCAACTCCATGTGACTCCTGGTGTGTGGTTGTTTGGGCATGTTTTGCTTCATTTCTGATCCCTCTTAGGCAAAATCCGCCGAGAACGAGCCGCGAACCGCGGGAACCGCGGAGAACAGCGCGGTGGCGACCACGGAGGAGGGTGGAGGCGCAGGGAGAAGTGTGGGGAGTTCGAGTCGAAGCGGCGTGGCTGGGAGAAGTGTGGCTAAGCATGTGTGACATGTTTGACATCCCCGATCCAGGAGCACTCGGACTAGTTGGCCATGCTTCGCCCCTGCATTGGAAGAGAAAGTATGTGCTCACATCCAAGACCAGAAAAAGGACGTACCTGGACCTGATGGGGAGATGATGAACTTGATTACTGAGCTCAGACAATCCGATTTTAACATTTGTATGTTTTTGCCGCATCAGCACGCCCTAGAATGACCATGTCTTGAGCGGCTAGCTGTCTCAATCTGTCTCAGCGATCTTTTGTCACCGAGATTTGAGTCAATTGACACGTTGACTCGTGGTGTTTCCCCCCCAAACTTGACAAGCTGACTGGACAAGTTATTTTAGGTCCAAAGCATTTTTCACTTGAAACATACAACCCCCCCTAAGTTAAGTAGCCTAAGAGATTGTCAAACACCATTCTCAGCGGTATTGTTCTTGGGTTGTCCAGTCAAAAAAAAACGGTCCAAAGTCTGGGTCCGAAAGTCAGCCCTATTCAACTAGGCTACCAATTGTAATTGTCAATATGTGGTTCCCAAAGTGATGAACACCAGATCTGAGACATGAACTGCAACTGATGCCGCAGAGCGTGGACCCACAACCCCCCTCTGCGGACCTCAAATCGATCGAAGAAGGTCTCAACAGATCCTACGTGGAAGGCAGATGAGACGCACTGGGGGTCCCTAAAAGCTCCTTTCACCTACCCAGTCAGTGGATCACCGGTTTTCCCATTCAAGATGAACAAATTGGACAAACGTTATATATGTTATATATATAATGTTGTTTTTTCCCCAGAAAAAAGCAACGGCTCGGGAGTCAGTAGCGTTTCAAACGCTCCCACTTCCCGCCTCATGGCTGCTCTAGGAGCCATCCAAGCCATCCAACTCTTTGAGCCCAAGAAGAAGGGGGCACGCAATGCATTGTCAGAGGAGAGGGGAGCAGCCGAGAGCCCGTCTCGGGGGCGCCCTCTCCGTTTTTAAAACGTGGTGGTCCAGACACGTGGCCAGCCAACAAGGAACGGGCGGGGTTTCATTCTATTTTTGGTGGTACAAGGTTTTGTGGATCGGGTGGAGACGTGTCGTTTTCCAATCTGTTTGTTGTCTTCCAGTTGTCAACTGGCCTCTTCCCGGTTCCGGTTCCTGGACAGCAAATCCAAGTCTCTATAGATGTCTTCGATTTTCATCACTTTGGATGTGCTTCTATCAGGCTTCGGAATGCTCAAACTGGATTCATCCCTGGCTTATCCATCCATTTGTTCCTTCCATGGATCGGTCATCGGGTGATTCATCCGCCCGACATCCCCCCTCGAGAAGAGGGGCAGGGAGAACCGGTGCATCCCTCAGACGTCCGGGAAGCAACTGCGGGATTTTCCCAGACACTGGTCGCTTCCTTGAGGTTGGTGAATGGTGGTGAAGGCGGTTGGTGAATGGTGGTGAATGTGTTGAAAAGAACGTTTGGGTCTTGAGTCTTGATTGTTCAGTCAAATGTGGATCTATGATTCAAGCAATTAGACTGTCGTTCATGAGGGAATGGGATAGACATCTTGGACCCGAGACATACCGTGTTTTTGGACAACAGCCAGCATTCTTCTCCAGGAACGAACAGGCAGTCACCAAAGTCACCAAAGTCACCAAGTGGTTTTATCGCCATCCATCCAGTTCAAGCTCTTTAAGAAATGTCAACCAAGCAAACTCACCCACAAGTCATTTAAAGAGCAGAGCTTCACCAGATCACTTTCACCCCCAAATCCCCCAACATCTCCTCCCAAGACCGCCCCGGAAACCGCGCTCAGCTTCCATCGATTGAGCGATCGGGTAACGTCGTTTGGGGTGCCAGGAGGGCCGAGCCACCGTGGTGGAAGAGGTGATCCCGCCCATCATGATCAAGGCGGAGGGTTTCTTGGGCTTGCCGCTCTCGGACCGAGGGCCCAAACTCCAAACTGCCCCAGGAAGTAGGTGGATCACTTCAAAGCATCTTAAAAACCTAAGGAATTAAGGACACCCTACGGTTCACCTAGGGAAACTGAGTCTGTCCTTTTCTTCGCAGTTCGAGCATTTCAAGAGGAAGTACTTCGACCTCCATCTGAAAAGAAGGTCTTTGGACCTGGATGGGGTCGGCTGGACGTGGAGATCGTCAGCAGCTCCCAGCTCGTGGAGCATGCTTGTTTACCCATCATATTATATCCAATATACCAGTGCTCCCCTAAAACAGCCCATTAGAATCATTAGAAGTTAAAATTTGTCCATGAACCACCGTTTGTGGCCTTGTGGGTCCTCTTTTTGGAGCACTTCTTCTTTGGTCAAGGTTCCTATCAACGGCAGCTGGAGCGGACTGGGGAACTCGATTGAGTCGAAGCTCTCAGACTCACCAAACGTGGATCCTAAATAAAGCCATACCCAGTCATATGCAGACCGTCCATGCAAATGATTTTGTTGCTCATATTTCCTCATGTTGTTTTTTTTTGTTCCTTTCTAATGGGACCATCCATGCATTTTACTTTATCAACTTCGGCCGGAAATCGTTTGTTCATGTTTGTTCAGTGAAAACATGTAAGAACCAATGGTGGATCGAAAACTAGGGTGTCCATCAGTGACCTGCTCTGCAGCACACCAGAAGCCAAGACGCAGGCTTTGGTTCACCTCTTCCTCTATGCCATCCATCAGGTACCCCAGCAGCAAATCTTTTAGCACAGAGATGGTTTGGTGGGCGTGGAGTGGCGTGGGAAAGGAGGTGGCGTGGCGTGGGAGTGTTCATGGTTGAGTTCTAAGCGCACCCATCATCACATCTCGCCGTTCTCGTGCTTGACCAATCCTGAGTGCTTGAACCACACCTTGATCCTTCTCCTACACCTGGAATCGTCTACCCGCCAACTCCAACCTTTCGGAGCCACCTCACGTGATTGGATGCATTCCTCCTAGCCTTTAAAGACCATTGAAAGAAAGCTTGACCCGGTGTCGGCAGTCTAAATTCATCGAAACTCCGTAAACGCCATTGTTGTTTTTGACGAACACATATTAATTATATAAAAAGAGAAATGTTGAGATCCCAGGGATTCTACTGAGTCGGAGATCATTGATGTTCACCGGCCCTAATGTTGATTCAGTTTCCCCGAAAGAAGTTCATCCCAGATCATCGCAGATCGCCCTCCCGGCGCTCCCACATGACGGTGTTGGTGTTCACGACCTTCTCCGAGAAAGCCGGCGCTCCCAGACACGACCTGTGGATCCCTTGGGACTAGACGAGACCCCCCAGGAAGCCATCGCCTTCCGGAGCGGCGCCTCCAACGAGGCCGTCTCCGCTCCGGCGCTCCGTCTCCGCTCCGAGTCTCGGCCGTGGGTTTCTTTGGGTTTTGATCCACCCAAGAGTCCCCTGGTCTTGGGATGAGGGCAAGAAAGAAGCAGTTTTCGATATGAGACCGACCCTTCGCCCCATCTTCCGCTCCACGGGCCGCGGTCCATTCCGGACCGGGAAGGAAGGTGAACTTCTTGTAGGTTGATGCATCAAAGTTCCAGAGTTGGGAGTAATCATCAACAGACCCCAATCCCAGACACCCCATGTTTGACATTAACCCACAAAGGGGTGGTTTTGGGGGAGGTGAATGTAGACATATAACACAAAACGGAGTGTTTGGGGTTGATGAGTCCCCTCGTCCCCTCCAGTCCCTCCAGGTGCCGGTGCGGCTCATCTCGGCCATGATCAACGCGTGCATTGCAGCGCTGGCAGCTTTGATGTGACCTGGTCAGTGACACAGGGGGTGCGGGGAAGCGGCTTGTCGGGGGTGAGGCGAAACATGCAGACGGATCTGAAATTGGAGTAGGAGTAGGAGTATTATTATTATTATTAGTAGTAGTAGTAGTCGTAGTAGTAGTAGTAGTCGTAGTAGTAGTAGTAGTAGTAGTAGTAAGTAGATGTAAGTTGTAGGTTGTAGTTTAGTAGTAGCGGCAGCAGCAGCAGTAGTCATAGTAGTAGTCATAGTAGTAGTCGTAGTGGTGGTGGTGGTGGTGGTGGTAATAGTTGTTGTTGTTGTTGTTGTTGCTGCTGCTGCTGCTGCTGCTTGTGTTTTTGTTGTTGTTGTTGGTGGTGGTCGTGGTCGTGGTCGTGGTGATCTTGGTGGTGGTGGTGGTGTTGGAGTTGTTGGGGATGGCAGTGGTGGTGCAGTGCTGGTGCTGGTGCTGGTGCTGGTGCTGGTGCTGGTGCTGGTGCTGTGGTGGTTTAGTCATAGAGTGAGCCGATACAGGAAGGCCGAGAAACATTGCAGATGGGAAGGTGAACGACCTCATGCTGTAGGTTACCCACCTAATTAAGAGGATTGGGGGGCCCGCTGGGCTTTAGAGTAGACAACCCACCCTATCCATGACCCTTGCTGCTGTACCAGTACCTGGCCAATCTATTGACAAACGCGACAACAAACAACAAGCGACAATCAAAGACTCAAACAACGCGCAATGACACAGACACACACCTTGTCTGGCAACAGACAACACACGCTGGGTTGGGCAGGGATATCTCCAGGTTTTGACTCACAACTGACTGAGTGATACCTCCGGAGGTATCCACAGGCCCCCTTTCAACAGGACACTTTCGGAGCTACAGGGAGTTCCCGAACTGCCAACCACCCACCCTTTTAGAGGGTCAATGCCGGCCTGGGCACATTGACCCTCGTTGAACAGAAGACCTTTCTCCAATGGGGATCCATGCGGCAAACCACCACTGAACATAGAGGCATGGACCAGGGCCTTTTGGAAGACCGTTTTCCTTTACAAATCAGTGCTTTTCAGATGTTTTTCGTGTTAGTCTTCAGGGGCGACCTCCTGATCTTGCGCGGTAGGGTTGACCCAGGAGAACCCATTCACAAGCAAAACCCCATTCAGGACGTTGACCGGGAGCTCGAGCGCGAAGCAGTTGCCCTTTGAGCCCTCAGAGGTCACGACGTGGACCGCGGTACCGCGGGGCGGTTTGGAGCCCCTGCGACTGTAGTGACCCGGGCCTTTGGGAGACTCAAGAAGCGTGGCAGGGGGTGACAGTGAGGATGCTGGTCTGGAAGGTTTATCCACTAAAATACATTAAATTTAATACCTGTGACTGTAATTCACGTATAGATCGGATAGCCGCAGGGGCTTTCTGAAAAAAAATCCAAACACTCCATGGGGTGGTTGTTGCAAGGGGTCAATGGGTGTTTCCTATCCCATGGGAGTTTTGAGGAAAAATAATCCATCAAATACATTCAATTTGTTTTTCCGAAGGAAGCCCTCCAGACACCTCCAGACTGCGCCATGCGTTCTTTCACCTCTTACCTCAGCCAGACATGATTGGATGGTGCTTGGTTTGAAACTCAGCACCTTTGGGTTGAATGTCAGTTTCAGCATGGAGACCCCGAACTGGGTGTGTATTTCAATATGGGTCTCCCCCAGAACCGATGGGTAGACTGGTCTAGTTTCCACTAGACAAGTGGGTCGAACTGGGAGGTCTCCCTATTTTAATACACCCATATGACCCATGCTTGGACCAAAAAACGTCTAGAGTCTATAGCATGATGTTTTGTTGAGTTGCTTTTTCAGACAAATTTGCCCTCCTCCCAGAGCTGGCAGGCTGGAAGCAAGATTTCTTGCGACTACGACGTTTGCGAGGCGCGCTTCTATGCGCAATGAACCCCGCAATCATCCACATACCCTGGAACCTGTTACTGTTGGAAGATGACTTCGGAAAGCTTGGAGGGTGAACATATCCTTTGAGATAGTAGTCGGAAGTAGTCGATATATGTAGTTGGCAGTTGTTGGATCGATTGGACAGGTTTGCACCAGTAGTTCCAAAGGGGTATGTATCAAATGTTTTGATTTTGATATCATCCAAACATGTTTATCACAGAGTCCCCAAGTAAGTGGATGCTGGACACCCCTTTGATCAACAAAATCTCGAAAACCTTTAGCCACGTTTGAAGTGAACCAGTTGTATAAACCCCCAATCCAGTTTCTCAGGTCTCTTCCCCCGCAGATTTGCATGTATGCCACCATCCACAAGAAATCATATGAACATCACCAGCACCAAAAGCGTGGCCGAATGGGCTTCAGAACGGAGAATGAAACGATGAACGCATGTCATGTGTCTTCAGACCGTGGATGGACATGGGGGCCTGCGTTAGCGAGTTCAATGACAGGTTGAATTTAATTGAAACCATATGAAAGTTGTGGTTGTCCAAGTTTCTCTTCAGTTCCAAACAGGCCATGTTCTGGGGTGGTGGGCCAATCAAGCACCTCTTCCGTTTGGATCCTGAAAAACTTGTGGTGGTCCAAGGAGCTACGGGGCCCATAACAGACATAGTATGACATAGTTAAACATACCAGTAGCTTGCGGCTACGATTTCTTCCTCATCGATTGTTTTGTTTTGCACATAAACCCTACTACACCACTTCTTAACAAGGCCCGTGCAACCCCTTTCTTCAAGAATTAAAAACACCAAAATAAACGTGTTGCTTCTCATCAATGACGGATGCAGCGTGTTGTTTTCTCATATATAGGGAAGATTAGAGAAACACGCACCCGTACACCAGCGGCTACCAGCTTATTGTTTTCTCCAAACAGACACCCAACCCTGGGTGAGTCAACGGGTTCAAGACACGAAGCTTTCTCAGCGAAGCCAGCTCACCTGAATCCTACCCAGTCAGTGGATCACCTGTAAAGCCTTTTTGGGTGAATTCTTTTCCCAACTAAACCAGAACAGACTCACTCACTAGACCCTTTTTGGGTGAAGCTTACACTCTGACTCACTGACTCACTGGAGGTGGAATCCAAAAAGGCCTTTTCGGATGAAACAGATTACACACTCTGCTGACTAGACCTGGAAGTGGATGGAAAAAGGCCATGCATATCCCCGACATGTTCAGACTCCTTCCCTCCAGAAACCGGGGGTGAACTCCACGAAAAACCAACAAAATGTGATGTGCTATGTCGGAATGTCACCCCCTTCACTCCGACAAAACAGGGGGGTTTCCCTCTATACTCCACCTCAACATGTCGGAGTGTCCCCTTTCTCCCCCTCCGGGGGGATCGCTTCCCCACACCGGGAGTTTGGGAGTCCAAGGCTTTGGAGGCCATAACCGCACACTGAGGCGGTGTCGCAAGCCATGACGGAAGGAGCACAACTGGTGCCGCGCGCACGGGTGGCACAACTCCAGGCGCGCGGCGCACGCGCCGTCGACACGGTGACGTCACGACCAGTATTTTCGCGAACTGGGTGAATCCTGTGAATCCCCAATCCTGGGGAATATGGTTAAGGTTCATGGTTTTTCCTTGTTCCGGTTGCAAATCCAAGTTTTTGTGGCAAGAGCCACTTGCCAGAACAGAAGGGTTCCAAGTACGAAGGTGTGTTCACTGAAATATGTACTTGGAGGACTCACCCTTTTGGTGGAAAAGCGAGACTTGTCATCCTGCTTCCTTTGCTTCGTGGTTTCAACATGTCTTCTGGAGGCTTTACTATATGCGCCGACTCAAACACATTCGACTCAACCGTTCGCATTATCAGAACTCACTCACTCAGCGGAGTCTTTTCATTTAACCTCTTTGCGACTCGACGACCGACTTCACACCTCCTTTTTGTCGGGTCGCACCGAGATCTCGGGGCAAAAAGGAGGTGTGCCCCAGTCCGATTCGAAAAGGAAGAACTCAAAAGGATTGAACAAGGATCATCTATTAAAAGTACACGCTGTATACCTGGGCCCCCTGTTTGGGGTGCCTAATGATGGCCCGAGGTGTCTAGGGGTGTCCGGTGAACCGGTGAACCGCCGGAGAACGGTGAACGAACTGGAACCGGTGAACGGAACGGGACGACGAAGAGCGACAACGAAGATGTTGCAGTCTGAAGATGTTTGTTCTTCATGGGACGAATTGGTCTGAGCAGGTGAATTGGTTTGAACAGGTGAATTGGTTTGAACAGGTGAATTGGTTTGAACAGGTGAATTGGTTTGAACAGGTGAATTGGTTTGAACAGGTGAACTGGTCTCTTTTTTTTCGATCGAAGTGGAACAAAGAGTGCTGTTGACCACGAGAGACCTCACGGTGTGGCGGAGAAGTCCAGGCACATTCAGGTGATGTTGAACCTGGTTTGGCGGATCAGGTGATGTTTGATTTGGAACCATGGATTTTGTCCAGGTTCCAAAGCACATTCAAGCTTGGGGATTGGATTTGGATTCCTGTGGGTTGGGGATCCAATTTGTTTTTTTTTTTTTATGTTTAGTTTGTTTACAGTATTCCTTAAGTAAGCAAATCCAAGTCTACTTCAGAAGGGATGGCGGATTCCGGGAATGGCTCAGTCTCTCAGTCTCTCAGTGTGCTTGCGCTGCGGTGAAACCAACCACTCCACACAGTACAAGAGTAGTACAAGTAGCGTAAGTAGCATGGATGAAGTGTCGAACATACAAACTCCCATACCCAGACCAATCAGACCATCCATTGAATGGAATATTTACCTATACATTGACCTCTGACACCACCCCAGTTTGTAGGTAAATATGTCAGTCCCAGTGTCACTCCCATAGATTGCTGTTTGGGATAGGACTGGAAGAACTATACATACCCATGTCCTTCTTATCACCACATGAAAATGCATCCATCATCATCCCTCTAACATCATCTAACTCTATTCCAATCCAGATGCTTTGACATGGTCGGCTCTCGCTCACTGGAAGTCGCCGGTGCTTGCAACCCGCCCCCCGGCGGGCATCGTCGCAGGTGGAACGAGGGATCGACGCCTTAAGACCTGAAGTGCAGACGTTGATCCAGGCGTGGGAGGGAACACATGTAATTCGATTAAACCGATTTGTGTCAGTAGATGATTGACGTTTAAACATATATATATATACCCTGGGAGTCCAAGACTATTTTTTAAAACGGTCTTTAGGTGATCCGAAAAGGAGCTTCCTTTACTTGGGTGGTGCCCAAAATAGGCTTTGGACTTCTAGAGTATAATATATTATATATGTGAATCATGTAATGGCATTTATGATGTAATTAATAATGCAATGATTATCAATGATTATGATATATGATATATATATATATATATAATGGCGGGTGCCTTGGGAAATTATTCCAGGCATACCCTTACGTATTGGAATATTTTTGCTGGAATATTTTTTCTGGAATATTTTTCCATGCAGGTATGCCATACCCCACCGTGGAGCTTGTCGTGGAATAATTGTTTAAGGTATAAATATGTTAAAGCGCTGTCCAAACTGAGCGATCATCTCAGAGGGATCCAGAGGGGTCCATACCAAATAGAGGTAAATTAATAAGTCGAATCAAAACAGTCGATATCAATCGATGTCGTCTTTTTGAATGCAGAAAGAAACTCTTGGACACAATAAGCTTTTGGATATGAGCTTGGGATGTTTGATTTTTGATTCAAATACATATATTGAAATGGATCCAACAGATTTTGGCAGTACATTAGGTGAAGAGACTGGGGATTGGTCAGTTTACAAAATATATAATATATTCCATATGTAATCTAGAGGTCACATACTGCTGGAATATTTTGAGAGAGACTTGGATGTGTGTCAAGTTGTTTCTGTTCAAGATTGCACGCTGCTTCAAAGCTTTCCAAGAGTGATGTCGTGACACCTTGGACTATTTACCTAAACCTATAGGATTATTATGTTAAGATGCCAGAAATTATTCTAGGAGGTTCCCACCCTGTGGAATAATTATCCAAATCGATGTTCAACCCTCCAGGAATAATAGATAAATATTCCTGGAGGTATCGACGGTCTGAGGTATCTAAGGGACCCCCCATTATATATATGATATATGATATATGATATATGTAAACACTATGACATTTGTGGTTGAATGATGATGTAGACCCCTAGGAAAAGTGGATCATAAACCAACTTGGCGATTGGGGCTTCCCATCGAAACATGGACAGTTAAGGTGGAGACTTTCTTTTCCAGCAAAACTGAGGGAGTGGAGCCTTTCTTTTCCAGCAAGACTGAGGGAGTCGGAGTCAGTAGAAGCTTGAAGAAGGCGTACTGCTCCTGCAGTATAGAAAGCTGTCTATATATATATAAACTTTAGATATAGAATGATGTAAGAATCATTAAAGGTGGAATGGGTCGACTGAGGCGAGATTTGAAGAACTCCCTGTCTTCTTCGTGCTATATAATCTACAAAGCTGACCAGCGGGATTATCATGTTCAACCCTTGGGGTCTCCTGCTTTGTAGTGTCAATAAGTAAAATGGAGTCATCTAACATAGATCCGAGTTTCTATTCCATGTCTCGAACTCCATCACTTGGCTAAAACATAATCCTTCATGTGATAGCAAACAGTTTCTACAGGTGGCAGACCTTTCAAGGTTGGTGCAGAAAACCGATCCATCCAGTCTCTTCATTCTACACTTCCACATGGTATACACATACCCTTCAGATTGCAAATGCATGCTTCCAGCTTCCATCTCCCCCACGGCCATGGCCACATGGCCATGCCATGCCCTTCCCCTTCGACCACGTTCAAGTTCCCGCTTTCGACCGAACACCCGCCTCCACGGACGAGCGGGAACACCGCTCCGCTCTCCGCTCTCAACGAGGAGGGCGCTCTCGACTACCACGAGGAGAAGCGGCTCTATGGTACCGAACGCGTCAGTACCATCGCCTATGTCTGGGCCCGGAACGATAAGAGCCTGGAGGACCGGTGGTTTTTATCTTTTCAGAAAGCGAACGGGCCAGAAAGCGAACGGTGAACACGTGTTCCAAAGACCCGGTTTGAAACTGGTGAAGGTGTTTTCTTCTCGTTTCAACACTCTGTAAAAAGGGTGTTTGTGTGTTTTGAGTGGGGACCCTGGAGTGAGATCTTTCTGAAAGTTGTCTTTTTTTGTGGAGAGCTTGGGGCTTGGAAGAATGCAACAGAAAGGGACAGAATGGGACAGGGGTTCAAAAGGCCAAGAGTTTGGTGGGGATGTTTTTGTTGTTAGTCTCAGAAACGACCAGGCTGCCTTGGTTTTGCTTAGGGTGATAATTAGGGTGATCTTTACTTTCCCTAAGGGTGAATTCTGGAAACGTGTTGAATATTAATGTTCGCAGTTCCTGGGCAGCCAATCCAAGTATTGCAGTGTTCAGAAGGGGCAATCTGTTGGACTAGCTAGACCGAGCTCGATGTCTGGACCGTTCGCAAGTCCGACGTCCGACGTGCCGGATGTTGGGCTATGTGTGGGGCAGGGTTTGTGATTGTGACGGATACCTCCCAATCATCTAAACACTTTATATAGCGGCACCCGACTCATACATTTTATGATAGTGGTTTGGCACCCTGCCCGACTGACTAGCTTTGCTTGGGTCAGTAAGAAGCCTGCTTCTAGCTTGCTGGTATTGAAGGATTGTCTACCAGGTGGTAGGCCCTATAGCTCATTTGTTATATAATGCTTTTGAAGAGTTCTTGCATGGGTTCAGAGTCTGCAGACCAAGTTGGGTGAATCATCAATCCCCGTGAGGCTCCCTCTTCCCACGCCGGATGGCTGTGAAGGATCCTGTACCCAGCTGTGTTTCAATGCATGGACCTCCACCGGGGCATCAGGCAGAAACTCTTGTCTACTTCTTTCTCCACAGGGCCTCCACATCCACCAGTCCAACCCCCACCACAAACTCGCCCAGCCTTGAGGGAGTTCGCAAAAGATGGCAAGTGAAGCACTGCGGCTGCCACTCACACGATCACATCCCAAAAAACGAAAGGTTAATAACCCTGTGTTTTTTTGCCGCGTGTGTAGTACTACACGTTTAACCCCCCACACAACTAAGTCGTTGTCTTCACTCACTCTTTCGCTCGTCCTATCACTCACCCACCCGTACTACCCCACGGTCGACAGAAGTCGAGTCGAGTCTCGCTCTCGAGGAGCAGCGATGTATCTTGGTGACCACCTCGCGCTTCCGCCTGGTCTTCTTGGGCTTCGACGACGAGGTGCCACAGCCCAAGCGCTCGGACCTCTTTGTGCTCGCCGTGCGGGACATGCGCCCCCTGGCAGCGTGAGCGTGACCGACCCCGCGCAGCGTGGGCAGTGGTGATGCGAAAACACACAAAACACCGGGAGGGTTGGTCATGCAGCTTTAAGTGAGATGTGGAAGTATAGAAGTATAATGAAGTATATATGAGATACATGGAAACCGTGACAGCTTTCTTGATGAGTTCCTTTATCATTATCATTTCCTTTGCAGTGTTCAACTTCCATTGAAATCAAAAGGAACAACCAATGATATTAATGTGTTCAGATGATCCAATGTTGCTTTCTCAAGAATACATTCGATTTGAGGGCAGATGAGGGCAGACTTCAGCCGTTGATTTGTAGAGATCCGACTATGTCTCAGGCTTGATGCTTCTTTATTTTGAGAGACTTTCTGGAGAGGTCTTGTGCATATCAGGAATTCCTAAGGATTTGACAGAGTCCGCTTCCATGACATTCCTCAAGTCTTTGGTTTGTAAGACCTTCTTTGAGTTTGTAAGACCTTCTTTTTCGTTTAGAGGCGGGAGGCTTAGGAGGGTCGGAGGCACTCCACTCCAGCTGGTGCTCAGGACGGAGCGACTGAGGGTTTGGGGTGTGCAGTTCTTCCCTTTCAATTTGGGAGACAAGAAAAAAAAGGCAGTGCCCAAACCACTTGCCACTAGTTGAGACAATGTGTTTTCCAAGTTCATCCAAATTCAAAGATCATTATTTTGGCCCCAACCTGACAGAAATTTCTAGACGTTTGGAAGGTCACCAGAGACATTTTGGTGGACACTTTTGGGATTTAACATTATTTAACAATCAGCATGTTTACGCATCTTTAATGTACCTATGAGCTATGAAGATGATCTTGCCGTTGAGTGCATACTTCTAGAGAGTGGGCGGAAAGGATCGGGCCCACAAACATCCGGTTCGGATGCTCCAAAAAGACGTTCTGGACCCCGAGGACCTCGTCTGTGAGAGGCCTCTTCGCCACAGGGTCGCCAGGCATCGTGACCCGACGTGAGGCAACATCCGCCGCGCCGTGTTCTCCTCCAGGAGAGCGCTTCCGCTTCCCGGTCCGCGCGTGGACCGGTGTTCGGGGCTTGGCCCAATCCGTGCCGTGACGGGCGCGCGTCAGAGTCCAAGGAATTGAGTTCTTCGATCCCCCAAAGCAATGTGAACTCAATGTCAACGGTCTTTGACCCTAAACCCTAAACCCTAAGCCTAAGGATGTTAGACTCAACCAGGTCAACCAATGTCAACGATGTTTGAAGGGTGGCCATAAGGTCAACAGGTCTTTGCCGGTCAGGTGCTCTCAGACAGCAACACGTCCCGTTTCGGGGCGGGCCGACTGGTGGGGGTCAGGTGGATGGCCGACTTCCAAAGCTTCAGTGGTTTTGGACTGCATAGCGAGCATAGTAGCATGATATCGCTTCTCTGGGGCGAAACATCCTGTTCTTTGGTGACCCGTTGGTTCTGATTTCGATGTGAACAGGAACCTGCATAGCATCCGCTTCGGTCATTCTTTTGCGTCATGGTTTTCCCACTTTTTGGGGCATCGAAGGTTAAACTTCAGAGTTTGTTTCATGTTTACTCGTAGAGCTTGGGCCGGGTGTGTCACGTTAGATCACGCTCCATCGGATGAACAAAGCCGGCAGGATCCGGCAGTTCCTGTGCCTTTTGTGGGACCGCACGGAGATCAACGTCGAGATGCTGATCTTCGAAAGTACGTCTCGCAGACGCTACTTCCAAGAGGCGCACCCGCACCGGACCCCCGTTTCAGGGGCCCCGTGTTGCGGTTGCCGTACATCCAGGTGACTCTTCGTGGCAGGGCATGATCATTCACCTGGAAACCCAGGACGGATCTCAATGTCCCTATATCAAAAAACGGGTCATGGGATGGTCATGGGTCTGTCCAGGTCCTCCGCCGTGTGCCGCGCGAGCGGCGGAAGCTGGCCGGAGACAGCGAGGAGGTGATCACCAGGCCTGTGCACCGGGGCGAGCGCAAGCAACGAATGAGTCCGGACTCCGGACCACCGGGACTCAAACGGAAGAGGCATTTTTGATGAGTGGGAACTGGAGAACCGTTTTTTTTGGTATGTGTTTTTAACAATTGGTATGACCGTATGATGGTATGTATATAGCAGTATATGGAACGGCAGTGTGTGCAGGTTTGCATCTCCCACCCCAAAGACTTCAGGTGGTCGCCATAGATTTGGCGCGACTGGGTGGTTTGTTACGTTTGTTGATGAAGAACAGACCCGCCACACCCAGGCCGTACCACATTTTGGACCATCCAGGTGGTGATATGGAAGCGACAGTCCCACTTGTTTGGTACATGATGGTACATGGTCGGTTCGTCAGCAGATTCACATCATTTCACCTGGTCCAAACTGTCGTGCTGTCAGGCGTAATGCGAAAGGCATCACTGGCAGTGTCAAGGGCATTTGGGAGGTGGCCGTCAACCCTGAGACGAGCCTTTGGCCGAGAGGAGGCAACGCACAGGGTCTGATTCTGCTCTTTGTTCTAAAGAAAGCTTTCCCAAAAGCTTCTCCATGGGTTGACCCAGGGTCAATGGGGCGGCCTCTTTGGGTCCAGACCAACTCAGAAGTTCTGGGTCTAGGTACGTGCCGACTCCCCGAACCTACTACTGTACATAAAATGTGTCGAACACATCACCTTCTCAGAAGGTATGTGGATCCATAGTAGTAGGCAGTTTACTGCCAGTCCAGTTGCCAATCCCATTGGTCATGTTTGGGATGTTACCCTTCGCTCGATCGGATCTGGTCGCCCATGCGGAACGCGTGGTTCCCATCCATCAGTTTCTTCATGTTCTTTTCCTTGCGCATCAGGGGTCAGAGACTAAGTCCGCGCCCACTTCGGACCAGATGTTTGACCAAGACCCCCTTCAGTTCCTTCAGTTTCTTCCCCTGACGTCAGACCCTAGGAATGGCCCGCCTGCTGGCACCGAGGATGGCCTCCTTGATCGAGACCTGCCAGGTCCGCCGGGGCGGCATTCCCTTAGCTCCTCGGTGCCCGCGAGCTCGCGAGCGCGCTTCGCTCGGCGAGCTCGAGCGACCGGACGGGACGGTGGCTCGGGGGGGCAGGGGGAATGTGGGGCATCCACTTTGGGTCTAGACATGCTACGGCGACAAGGAGTTGACCATGTGTATGGCGTGTAGCTTCTTTGAAGGATTGAAGGATGGAAGAGTGCCAGAGCTTCCTTGGCGGCGGAAATTTTGTGCGCCCTACATTGCTCAGTGCTTGATGTTTGTGGCGTTGACCTACATAGCAACAGCACAGTACCTTCGTTGATCAGAAGTTATATATCGCGTCGCGGTTCTCCTTTACAAACAGGATCAAACAGGGGTTCTCAACGACTTATTTGTGGGAGGGAGGGTAACATTACACTCCTTGGAACTAACATGGAAGTGGAAAATGGCTGCTTGGAAGACTATTGTGCTCTACAAACAGGGGGGGGTTCCACTTCCATGTGAGTTCCAGAGAGGGTACGTCCCTTGATCCTTCGTGCTCATGTTCCAAGAAATCGGGCAACTTGACGTTTGTTCCAATACCTTCGGATGAACCAGCTGCGTCGCAGCGTCCTTTCGGTCCCTTTTCTCGCTGGTGCCCAGGTGAGCGTCTCATTTGTACATACCTTGGGCCCTGCCAATGTTCTAAGCCAGCGGCTCTCCCTGTTGGTGCTCACACGATGCAGCCTCACAGCGCCTTGGAGAAGAACTTGCTGGTACGTAAGCTGGGCTGAGTCGAGCGGCGAACTGCGCTCCATTTTCATGGCTGCGAACTGCGTGGGATTCCATTGAAACCCAATTATTTCTAAAACTCAACTGTGGACCGATGCTGAGAACTTTCGGAATCTCTAGCTGGGTGGTGGTAAAGATGTGTTTTCTATTCAGATGGTGCCATGTGATAAGTTTGTCTGATCGATTGCTCCAATTTCCCAAGTGATAGGGTCTATAACCTGGACAACCGATTTGTGATGATTTGTGCATGAAACGAAGAACACATGTTTTCGCTCAGTGACGCAAGCTTCCAGATGACCATCAAGGAACAATTCCAAAAAGATCTGGTAGGGGAACATGAGGATTATTTCAATGATGTTCAATTCCAAAGCAAGGGTACAACTGGCAAAGGAAATATAGACGAAACTATACATGTCTTCATATTTTTATTTTTACTTGAGCTTTAGCGCCTCCTTGTGAGAAGCCCTTCTACGGGGCAGAAATGGGTTGCCGGGATTCTTCAACCATATGGCAGCTGTGACGGATGACAGCTAAGGCTCTCCACGTCCTAGCCATTCAAGTTGCACAAATAACTACTGGGAGTTTGGTCCAGTCGTGTGCAACAAGAAACCTGCGATACAGAGGAGCCTCACAGTTGTAACACATTGCTATGAGCCATTTGACTCAACATGTTTCATGGATTTCCAGGCGGGACAAAAACATGGACACAGGTGTATGGTGGTTGTCCTCACTGACCCTATGACTCCCACCGATGATCTATCCGTCATCCGGCGAAGGGCTGAACACCGGCGAAGGGCTGAACACCCGGGACCAGCCGGCTGAGCACGGATGATATGCGTGGCGTGGGATGACTCCGACCGACCGGCGGATGCCAGACGACCGGTTTTCCAGAAAATGGACAGACTCCAAGGCTTCATCTCCCAAAGCTCCAGATGTGTTGGTATTTTTGTTCGCAGTTTGTTGAGGTTTTGTAGCTTGCATTCACAGACCACTGAAAGCGAGTTCAATGTTGAAAAGCGGAGGAATTCATGATTTGTTCGAATTTATGCGATGGATGTAGCCCGGCCGTTTCTTGGAGCCGCCGGGTGGCTCAGATCTGTTCTTTCTTTCACACCGCCGAAGCGCTGCGAAAAACGAGGTGATTCCCTTTCGCAGCTTTTGGAGCCGCTTTTGGAGGCAGGGTGTTCGATCACTCGTCAGACCGATGCGACTCGACCTGTATGCAAGAGAGAGAGAGAGAGCCAGAAGAGAGGAGTTGTATCTATAAAGTCCTGTTATATACAGGATCAGCCAGCAGCGCCCAGCAGCGCTGTGGAGAAACAACACATGTACCATTTACCAGGTGTTTGTCGATGTGTTGGTTGGGGAGGAATGGCCAAAGTTTGAGCTGATCAGCTGAAGACACGGGATTTGACAGGATGAATGTGGATGAGAAATACTATGATGCGGATGAGCACGTGGACCAGGCGCAAGAGCGCGTTGGTCCAGGGTGGGGCTACATGGCCATGATATACCCTGCCTGCCTTTTGTATCTTGGGTTTTGTGAAGCATCTGACTGTATTTACCGCTTTGGAAAATAAACATATCCACCATCATTCAAGTCAGGCTTTTGGCCTCGGAGCAGCTCGGTTTTCAAACCTCCTTCTCGCAACAACCAGTCTTTTAGCACGAGTCATCCTTCTGGCCTGAAAGAAACACAGACATGCCCTCTAGGGCCCGCCCGTTACGGGCCCTCTCACTTTTGGAGGGTGACCGGTGAGGGACAACATGAAGCCATGTGCGATAAGTTGGAATGCAGGAAATCATCATTGACCCATGCCCAATTGCATTGGACATCCGTTTTTCGTTGGATCCTTTGGGTTCTGGAAAAGGCAAATGGATTCTTCCAACGAAGCGGGAGTTCTGCCCTTGAATCTCCAACTCCAACTGCAAGAACTTCGCAGATGTTTTTTTGATTCTTTTTGTAATTATACTCGTAAATGACTGTGCGTAGATATATGATTACTATATATTACTATATGATTTTTTTGTTCAGCTGGGTACTCCTTGGGAAAATACATGTCCATCTCCACCTGCCTCGCCAACCAAAATACCAGGCGGCAATGGATACGGACTCCGACGACGATATCCTCCCACCGTTCAAAGAGCCACCGAGACGTGTGGACGTGGGACGAGACGTGGGAGGTGAAGGGAACATTTGCGCCCTTGAAGAGACCCACATGGAAGCTGAAAGTCACTGGATTGTAGAGGAACATAGACTTCCAGTTTGGTCCATGCCATCAGTCAGGTTCCATGTGTGTCTCCAACCCCGGGTGTACGCTTCCTCTGAAACCGGGAATGATTTGGACAGACTTGGTGCATGAGTGGATGAAGTGTTTCAAGGGCACCAAGGGCGTGATGAAGCTCTGAAGGCTGTCAGGTCACCGTAACCCGGCTGGACCTTGGGTGGGGATCTGGGGGGCCGAAACATGCCATCCACGTGCACCCGGTGTTTAAAACCCACATGGAACGCTTGGCAGGGACCGGACTGGAAGTCCATGTTCATCGACAAACCAGCGATGTTCAGCTTCCATGTGGGTCTATACGCATGGGCGTCACCCATGCTTCTTTCATGTAGGACTCCAATAGCTGAACGAAGGTTGAACTGTTGAACGTGTCACCTTGGTGTGCTCAACATCGGCCGCTGTGTGGAAGTGTTTTCCTTGATCCGCAGGATCCGCTAGCAGCGCTAGCAGGGAGTTGAGACATGTCACCTTCTATCCAAGAAGGCTCTTGGTTTGTTCCTGGAAGAATGGTACCGAAGATCTAGTGACACAGTGATCACCCCCCAGACTCTATAAATGATTAAGATGGAGAAGCAAGCAGACATGTGCGACACAAAATCAATACCCAAACGAGCGATTTGCCAACTGTGCCTCAAACGGCAAGACACGGTAGCTCCCTCAACAGTCTTGCAAGGACACCTCAGCAAAGAGCTAAAGCAACCACCTTGTACTTTGATCAGATCATGAAAACAATGACACATGCAGAAGAACTCTTCATATTTCTTGCCTGTGTTGTTTATCAAGTCAAAATGGTGCTATTGCTGGCAACAAGTCTTATATCACCAATTGAAAGATATTTAAAGCCCAAGGCGACCATGCGTCTCGTCTATGTGCTTGCACCGGAAAACACCACCAGAGGTCCTACGGGTGCGACTAGACAATGATGGATTGCCTTAATCTATGTGAGGTACTTGGGTTTCATTTGAACCACCCTGGACTATTGCGATAGTTATACTCTCTTTTTTTTTGTGGGGTGGGTGGGTAGACAGCAGACCCAATGGAACCTGAGATCATGTTGGAGCCGTTCGAACGAACGAGTTTCACCCGGAATGGACGCGCCGAGGACGGTGGTGACATCCAACGAATCAGAAGAGAAGTTTGAGGCATCAGCGACGTCGGTCGTCGGATCGGTGGCCCAAAGCAGGTTTTGAATTCAATCGAAGCAAAATGACATGTCATCAGGACAGTTGGATGAAAACACATGACACAAACAGCGCCCCCTGGAGGTGAACCGTTCTCGAAGGGGGGCGTTCTTTTCCCCCAGGGATGCACATACCTTTATAGAAGGTACTTGAGGCCTCCAAGCCTACAGCCTACATAAATAGTCTCCAATCACCTTCTCAGAAGGTATTTGGATCCACTATACGGTTCATCAACCGTTTGCATTTCAAAGTGTTGGGGCCCTTTTTCGCGTGACACGGCCCGGCTTGCAGACTTCTTTAATCTTCTTTAGCATCTTGGGCAGCGACGTTGCTATTTGAGCTATACGTTGCATGATTGAGCTCCGTTGAATCCTGGCCAATGGCCTATATATATGCCAGACACTCGATGTATGGAATATATGCCTATAGCATTGGGGTGGTGCCAGGGGGAAAATACACAGATTCTTTGGCACCGTTTCTTTGTTTTTTGTTTTGAAATGACGGGAGTGACACGGTCGGCCCACCGATTCTGACCGACGTGTGACTACCGTTTTACCGCGCACCCCAAGTTTGAGAAGTTGAATCCAAGCAATTCAGCACCAAATTGTACGAATGATGTGATATGATGGGGCATGTTTGTGTCTAAGGGTCGCCATTTTGTGCAGCCAGAGAGTTTTTTTTGACACGGCGCTGGGAAGACGACGTCTTTTAAATCCCCAGGTGGCTTGTTGTCGCTTGTTGCGGCCTAGATTGGGTTGGTTGGCCTGTGGAACAAGACCAGCACATGCCAACACCATGTTTTGGTTTTGCTTTATTCTATCTATATACTGATGACGATCCTTCTGTGGGCGGTGCTCACAGGGCTATCATTGGCAATCACGTCTTTTCTTCAAGAGTGCAGGTCAGCTAGACAGGGCCATAAGATCTTTTTGCACAAGGTCACAAGGCTGAAAGTTGCGGAACGTCATAGTCATAGTGAAGGTGAAGGCCCCAAAGCATCCCTAACAACAACGATGAGTTGTTGGACACCACCGAAAGTTGTTGGAGAAACCACCTCCCACTCCCGAAGCGATGGTCCAACCACTCCCACGGCTGGGGGGTGGAGTAAACATCTCCAGGCTCGGATCTGAAGGTGGATCCAACATGATCCAACCCAACATGGTGGATTCCAAGTCAGTTTTCCGAGTTCGAACACAATCATGTACTATTCACATACAAACCGGCCCAATCTTGCAGGATTTACGTGTTTGGTGAGAAATGTTGCTATTCACATACTTGGTGCTAAAGAATGTAAATGGAACATCGTCGGCTGGGAAGCGTGCATTGGCAGTGCATTAGAACAGACTGGGTGCACCATGGTGCACCCTTTGGCAGGTATGAACATGCGTGGTCCGTGCCCAGTTGAACATCAAAGCACGTGACATTTGCATGAAATTGTGTGAAAGTATGTAAATATCACAGGCGCGGCGAGAAATTACGTGAAATTGGTTCTGTTGAATGATTGACAATTTATTGAACAAAGCCAAGTTGGGTTCAATTAAGGGGTGTGACCTTGGTTCAGTCTGTTTGACCATTGAATCGTCCGAGCCGCGGCTCTCATCGGTGGTGCGTTGAGCACCGTCTTTGGCGAGTTTGCCGGTATTTACAGTCTTTGCACTAGAATCTGCAAATAGCACGTGTTTGGACTCATATAGGTGTATTATTGTACTGTCCTATGATTTTCCCATGGTTTGTTTTTTGAGCATCTTCGAATATGTAGTGGAAAGAGTGTGTTTTTCCAGAGTCGCCAATTTTGATTCAACATATCCCTGAGAGAGTGACGCACTGGAATTTTGCACGGTCGCTTGAATGTGATGGCAATTTCCTAGAATTCTGACGCAAGTCATGGTGGGAGTGGGAGCATTCTTTTGGTTCTGTAATGCCGCGTCTTGTGCATGCCACTGCAAGTCTCGGAGCCTTCTAAAAAGTCCAACCTAGTGGTGTTTCTTTGTTCAGTAGCTTTCAACTGTTGAGTTCAAGATTATATTAGCTGGTCACAGTAGAAGCTGTTGTGCCAGGGCCTGCTCGCCTCATAGAGCAACGAATGCTCAAAGTCAGGGCAAGGGTGTTCAAGCCAGTTAGGATCTCAAGTGTTCCAGCCAGTGCGCTGGAGCATCATCAAATCGTAACCTGCTTGCCGGGCACTTGAGTTCATGAAGCCACCTTAGTTTGGGACATGCCGCAAAGTACACAACAAAGCGCAGGCCGCACCAGCACCCGGCAGGCGTCAAAAGGGCCCTTTGACTTTGACGATTTGCAGGGTGTTTGGTTCTTCGCCGAGTCCAGCCCGAAGGCGCCATAGCAGCGCCAACGGTTCGTGAGGAGTTTGAAGAGTCATGCCAAGCACATTGTCGGAACAACCATGTCAGCATGGCTGTTTGGAGTTTGGTGTTTTTTGTACAGGTGCGGCTGCAATTCGCGCAGCCAATTGACATCACATTCACCAGTGACGGAGAAAGACAAAGATTTCGAAGACATTTGGCAGGGCCCCAAGTCGGCGCAGGGATGTTTCAAACAGGAGTAGTGGGTAGAGATCCATCAGTATTGTACAACCCTTGCACGGGTGTCTCCAGCCACAGCACCTTGAGCAGCTGTGACCCAAGGTAACACCACCCTAGAAAATCATTTGTTTTCATGCACCTGCTCACCCTCGTCACTTCGCTGGGTCTCATCCCGCAAGACCCCTCCGAGGCCAACATTTTATCGGAGGACGCCGCGCCCAAAGCCGGCAAAACCTCCCAGGCCCTGGCCGGGCTGTTAGTAGCCATTAATTTGTAATTCGCCTCGCGGTTTTCTGGTTTCGCCTCACTGCGGGTTTCGCTGAACGCGGCGTGGGAGACGGAGCTTTCGGGTGGCTGTGTGTTTTCAGATGCCAATCTCTCGCAGAGATGTGGAGATGGTTTCAGAGTCCGACAGATGGTGTCATGCTACACGGGTGGTGGTGTGTTTTGGTTTTGTGTGTGTGTGTCATATACTCACTGAAGAGTGGGATGAATACTTTGGATTCTCTTTCTGGCACAGCTCTGATTCCAAGGCACACAAAAGAATACAACGTACATACATTAGAACCCTCGGCCAATTCACTTCTCTATTTTTGGATATATATCCTGATACAGTATCCCTTTCTAGATTCAAAGCAGTCCACATGGACCCTGAATCAATCATTTTCCACCTAACCATTCGCTTTGGATTTCCACTTCTGGTGTGTTTTTTGGGCCTGCCGGGTGCTTGGAACTTGCACACCTGATGCTGAATTCCGGCGGTCGCCTTTCCGAACAGAACCCAATGCCATCACTTTTCCACAGATTTTGGATCTACTGGTCCAGTGGTCGGGTCTTCCTTCGTGCGTCCAGTGGTGTGACATCGTTCTTCCCCCGACCGCGGCAGGCCTGGGCCGTCGTGCCCACCGACCAGACGGATCTGAAGACCATTCAGAAAGCCACCAAAGAGGCGCAAAGCGTGAAACCCAAGGCGCGAAAAACCACCGGGCACTGCGGGTGGATCGCGGGTGGATCGTGCGCGGAGGAACTGGGAGATTCACTAGATGAGAACTGGCATAGCTACCTAGTTTGGGGGCTTGAACAGTGGTCATAATGATTGTCGGGTTTGCATGGGAAGAATGTTCTTGTTCTATTCAATACCTTTGACTGAGAACTGTTGGGTTCTGTCAGAAAGCCACTAGCACAATCTCAAAGCACTGCCTAGAAGCCACTTGACACCAATCAGTGCAGTCTTATTCATGCTGACAGGTATTGGTTCGGTTCGGTTGCGGTGCAGGTCAACTTTTTTTGGAGCGACACAACTGGGAGGCACCACTTCTGCTGGCGCACAACTTCTGCTGGCCTCACCAGAAAAAACGTTGGCGAGTCACCCCAACCACCGGTAGACTTTGGATGTGGGCAAGGAGCCCGGTAGGTAGAGGAAGCGATGCAATGTTCATATACGTCCAACAACCCGATGCATAATAATATATATATATATAAATTGTTTGAGCTGGTCTTTGACCCTCTGGTGAGGGAACGTGAGGGATACAATATTCAAAAATGAGATATATGTTTAAATATGCATAATAGTGGGACAAATCCAAAGAAAATTCATTCAATCATGTTTTGGGATGAATTCACAGTTGTTCTACATCAGGACGACTATGATGATGACTATTTTTCAGAGGAACATGACCTGAGAGTAGTGGAAACCAAACAGAAATATCATGCAATATCGCAAGGAGCTTTGCACACTGAGGATGAACTAGCTCCAAGAACTATAGGATAAAGCTCCAAGATAGTTTTTGGCTTTTTGTTTGGGAATAACTGAATAGCTGTTTGGATTTTATTCACGATCTCTTGAACGGTCAACAGACAGGTCGGCGCTTTTGAATAGTTCATGGTTACTTCATGGTACCCAGACGGGGCACCTCTTGTGTCGGGTTCGTCTCTTCGTCTCTTCAGGATTCACCAAAGATGGCCTTGATGGGTAGCTAGGCTTTGCCCCCCAGGTGTGGGATACTCCCGAGGTGTGGGATGGCAGATCGGATGTAGAATCCATCTAAGATCGTTGAGTTTGAGTTCGGAAGCTAGTGGCAGCAAGCTCTATTTTGGGGTGGTATTTGGGTCCAAAATGAAGGTCACTCAGGCTCTAGGGTATTTTTTTGAACCACCCCAACTGGTTCAAAATGCTAGTTAGGTTTGGAATATTTGTTTGAGGCAAGTAATTGCTGCAAATTCTCAACTTCTTTGGGCACGTGTGGCATCCTTTTTTTCGTCATCATAGGGTTTGCACATCCCAGACGTTCCCAGACGTTCGGCATCATATGACCGTTCATGCAGCACCAAAAACCACCAGTGTAGGCCATACTTGTTGTCCCATGGATCCTTGTGTATGGTTTGTTGTGGATGGGCCTTTTTTTTGGACCAGAAAATATGTCCTGCTGCCAAAGATCGACAATGATAGTGGAATAGATCGAAGAGAATTCCCTGATCAAACAATGTTTGCATATATATGTTTGTGTTTGCATATGTCTTTTTGCAGTTATTTAACATGGCATTCTATAATAATAGGTTCGGGTTAGAAACACCTGTCATTTAGATCATCCCACACATTCCCTTTGAGCCTGGCACCTTATCCACCTGCCGCAAAGTTCCGGCGTTTGTGGACGGTGCAGAGGACCTCCACCCGCTTTTGGTCCGCGGGGTTTCACTGCTAGCGATGCCTCATCTCGAGTCATTCCGCGGTCCAAAATGTCGTGATGCCTTTAATGTCCATCCACTTGGAGGAGACCGGTCGCTTTTTCGGCAAGTGCGGAAGGTTCGGGACATAGAAATTGATCAGACCTATTGGGCCGGTCTCAAACATTGAGGTTTGTTTTGATTGAGAGCTCAAACCACCAAAACGCGGTTAAAAAAAACACACATGCACACACCCCTATATAACTTTGTGCTATGTTTCTTTTTTTTTGGAGGGGTATCCCAAAAGATCCAACAAACATATGTCACGCCCCGATGTTCAGCGCCTTGCGATGTTCAGCGCCTATGTGTCAATTCTCATGTCAGGCTTGCGATCGCGGCTGCATGACATGGGTTCCGGGGGGATCTACTTGTGAAAAACGGGAAGCCGAATGACACTGAGCACATTAATAGAATTTGGCTGGTGGAATTTGTGCAGGATTAATCCCGATAACTGAAGAATGTGGTACCTGGATGTACCTGGTACCTGTCCAGAATCATCATCCCCTTTCAACCAACCCTGATTGGCACAGATGCACAGGTCGTGTTTGGGGGGGTACTTGCTTTGTCTTCAGCGTCTCCTCCTCGGTCCAACATGTTGAGCCCCACAGCACCGAGCAAGTCGGGTCGCGCAGTCGAGGTCGGCCATGGCAAGGAAGGCCTTTAGCAGGAGTCCAACATGGTCCAATGAAAAGCATTGTGTGAACCAATCAACTGGCAGACAAATGGAGGTTAGCAAGAAGAGTGTCCACAACTGTTGAAGCAAGAAGAGCGATCCAATCAACTGGCAGACATGATCAAGCGAGGTTCGTGAAAGATACCCTTGGGACGTACCTGGGAGTTCTGCACTGAGGTCAGCCTGGTAGTTGGTTTAGTATGCTTATATTCTCCACGGTTTCAGGCTTGGCAGGTAGGCAATCAGTATATCATTATATCGTAGTGCTGATGTGTTTCCTCCGGTCAACCGAATGGTTTGATCAAGTCAAGTCTCACTCGGATTTTTTTCCCAAGCCACAGAGCACCACACACATGCCTGCGTAATTTCGCGCGAATGAACCTGGCCTGCGATGTGGCGTGATGCCGGCAGAGTTTGGAGGATCCTATTGGCGCACTTCAGGGCAATTTTAGAGGTCCTTTTTTGTGCCACTGGACATACATAGTATATATATATACACATTTACATCAGCATCATCATCATCACAGAGTTTGTGGCATTGGATAAACATATACAAGAGCCGGGCAGGGCTGGTTACAAGAGCAGCAGCAGCGGCGGCAGCAGCAGCAGCAGCAGGAGCTGCGTACTCTGCCAGGGATGTTAGAGTTGCTTAACGAAATCCAGCATCAGTGTATGAACGCATGCGGTTTTCTGAAGAGCATGAGCCTCCGGGTTCACCAAATTTCATCGCAGATGGGTGATATGGGTTGCGGATGGGTGTCATGTGTGCTTAGTCATATCCTTTCTTCAGTCTTTTGTCCAGCCCAAGGAGGGAAGGTGCGGCGACCCGTGGATAGGTGCGGGTCTATAGGCAGATGTGGAGTTCACCACCTGTTCGACGAATCTGGTCATCCGAAATCGGGGCCATGCCATCCAGGTAACCATGCTTTATTCAGGGAGTGGAACGTATTTCCCGAAGATGCTCCAAATGCCTTGTCAGAAGGTACTTAGACCCTCCAAACCTATCCCAAGCACCTCTGGTCTCCTGGGACCTTCTTGGAATGTCACATAGCAAAATCACGGAGAAACTCATTCTTCCCTGTGGCCTACTAGACCCGCAATATGATTTCCCAACTCCACAGTCTGCTATTGAGCAACTTGCAACTGCAACAGCACCGCCCCACCGCAACTCGCCCAACTCGCTCGAAAAAGCACGTTCCCAACACAAATTGAGAAATACATCATCAAAAGAGCAAAGACCAAGAAAACAAAATAACAAGAACCAGTTCCAGCACCTCTTTGACACTGAGAACAAAGACCAAGATAAATATAGAACCAGACCCAAAGGATTGTTTTTGGACCCTTTGGCATTGGGTGGTGCATGGTGGTGTGTTTGTTTCTTTTTCGTTGCCTGCGCAGCAGCTTGACTAGGCCCAGGCATGTCTCTTCCTGGGAGTGTTTTTTCAAAAACCGGACGTCACCGAAGTTGGACGTCTGCGAACTGGTCCTGGCTGCCGTAACCAGGTGGGCGATGCCCGTGCTGGCCTTCTGATTCCGATTCCGAAGGCCGGGTGAGGCCGCGCTGTCGCGCTGCTCTGAGGACAGGGGTTCTCGGAGTCATCCGGCGGTTGTTTTGTTTTGGCTATATAAGGTCTTCAATGCGTACAGGTCACTTGCTAGGTATAGAGACGTCTAGAGAAGGACCTTCACAGTGACCGAACTTGAGATCCCAGAAGGAGATCCCCTTAGTCCCCGAAGAGGTTACTTTAGAGACTCCAAAAGAGGTCACTGTACATGGCTGGCAGGAGCCAACGACACCTTTTTTCACCCACACGCGTCGCTTGTGACACAGCGCCAGACTACGATGATGACAGCGAGGAAGAGAGGCGAAGTGTTGCAGAAGCGGAGCGACATGGGCGCTGCTTTGGTGGTGTCACTGCATCTACTACCATCTACCTGCTTATTGGGCATGTGGCGAAATTGTCACGTGGAAGATGTGGCAACATATAGCAAGAATCAATCCTTTTCACACCAACTATCCGTATGTATTCCGAATTGATGTTTGGTCACCCACAAGATCCCACACGTATAAAACATAGTAAGAGTTTTGGCTGAGCGGCTGAGCCTTTCCGGAGAACCTAAAAATACGCGACGTGGAAAAAGGAGAGCTTGAGGGAGAAACTGAAGCCCTGTGGAGCCGAATTCGGACGAATGAGAAATGAAGCAGAATGGTATAGGTCGACCATTCACAAACTATCCCAGGGGATCCAGGCAAACCACGATGTCGCTGGTAACCAATGGTTTCAAAGACGAAAACCATAGACTTAGAATCCCTGGTTCCTTTTTTTGTGGTAAGTGGTAAGTGGAATCCACTGGGTATAGTTTTTTGGTAATGCAGGGTGGCCGATGATCAGGGACACCCAACGGATGATCCATGATACCCAGGACCGAGGCATTGTCAATGGACGCCCGTCGGACAAAGGGTGCAGAACCGATCGAATGTTCCAGAGGAGTTTGGTACATTGTGAATTGTGCTTTGTAGGGAATGGGGGAATAGGTCCAAAGGAATCTGTTGGGAATTGGGAGCTCATTCCTTTATTCCCGACCAAGCACCAGTTTTTTGAGAAGCCCACTGGCATCGGCATTGGGGTCTCTTCTGATTGGATCATGTGTAGCCCACGTAGCGCAGGGAGGGGTTCACAATGTTTCACAGCTACGTGGAATTCACCTGCCACATCGCCAGGCATTTCCTCTGGAAGATTTGGAGGAGACCAGCCTGCGACATCGCAGTGTGGAAGGTGTTCACCACCAAGGGAATCATCTACTGCAAACCTCGCACATTCATGAATGTAGATAAATTGATACCGTTTTTCTTTGTGTGCTCCTCATACCTTTCCCATTCATGAAATACCTTCTTCCCACTAAAACGCCTCCCGCTCCAGACAGACACACGCACACACACATTCTCCAGCGACACATCCCTTCCCCGACATTCCAACTGCCTATATAGGAACGAACTTACTTGCACTATCTTAGACTCCTTTCGCCTTCCTCCACGCGTCCACATGCCGCCGGAGCTCGGCTCGTTTTCCGCCCATCCAGGAGCTCCTCGACCCGGGAAGTGCCATCGCCCACCCGGCAGACCATCAAGTCCTGCACCCCCAGGCCGCGACCGGGTCGAACCGGGGCCACGGACCGGGGGCGAACCGGCTCGGCTTGCGAAGAAGGTGAAGCACAGGTCGTTGTTTTGCGGAAAAGGAACAGGAAACTGGAAGATTTACTTCCCAACTGATTCTGAAAACGGATTCCCTAAATCGTTCTACAAGCGAGGCTAGTACCGCCCACACCGGAAGCAAACATCAAGAAATGGCTGAGGGTCTTTCAACCGGGGGACCTTTTTTGACTCACCGTGCCCATGAACAGAATAGAGTACTTGTACTAGACATGGTCAACCTATCAGGGTTTCGGGCGTTTTGACCCGCCAAATTACATCCAATCACTTCAATATCATGACCGCCACGCCACGCTGTAGGCGTCGCCCGGTGCTCTCGCGGGGTGCTCCCAAAGCCTGCGCAGCGGCGCTGCTCTTGATGGTGGGGAGGGG